ACATTAGGATATAGATATTGTTGATTAAGAGTCCCCCATAAGAGATTTAGAAATGATAGGGTTTTAATTTTCTATACATAAATAAAATAGATTTTATGTTTAAATGATTAATAAAAAATTACGGAGTATTATGTAAATAATGAAATGTTAATTTAAAATTTTATTTTACAATTTACACCTATTATGTAGACATGTTCCGTAATTCCTTTGCCAAAATGGACTTTTCAATTTCAATACTATGACTAGAGAATATGTGTACCTATTACAACATAACCTTGTAAGAGCCAAAATGGTACCCACAACTTGGCTTTTCGAGTTCAATACCAATTCCTTCCTTTACATTCCTCACTTGAATAACTCAATTATGGGGTGTGTTTGATCTTTTGGAGATATTGAAACAGTGCATGCACATTTGGCGAGAGAGAATATAAGAGAGAGAAGAAAGGGAGCAACTTTATCACTTGAGATTTTTTATGAGTTATTTGTGGATCACAGTATCCACTCCATCCTCAACTATTTTACTCAATCATAAAAAACTCTTCTCTACATCAGTTTTAAATTTTTTCTCAGTTTTGTGTGCACCCACCATTTAACCCACTATATTTTAATTATTTTTTTTATCTATTTTATTTATTTAAATATAAATTTATAAATAAAATTATGCTCAACTCTATGGACCCGTCTGGCCATCTCAATTTTGTCTAACATTATGCTTAACTTTGCAGGATAATTATTTTTCAAATAACTCGCACATAATCATTTTTCAAATCTCGCACACACATCAACTATTATCTTTTGGGGATGCAAGAATGAGATTATTGCAGAAATATGGGCCCCACGAAAGGAAATTCATAGTCTCGCACCCTCAGGGTGAAGGCAACGAGTGCACCTAGCGGGCGCAGGCACACTGACCAGCGCACCTAACAATGTTTATTTTATTATTATTTTTTTTATAAAAAATCGCAACGGAGATCAGTTATTGTGGTCTTGTGGATGCTCTTACAATCCAAAAACTATCAATAAGCATGTGCATATTTATTGATATTAAAAACAAACATTTATTTTATAAATCACAATAAATTTAGTATTCATATCTTAACATGACATTATACTCTTTTTTTTTTTTTTAACAGTAGTAGGATCATCTCTTTCTTCTTTCTTCTTTAGAAAGATCAGCTCTTTCAAAGAGAAAAGAACAACTACTCTGTATATGTTCTAAGCGCCATAATTGTAGTGATACATGAAAAGAAAATTAGGTCCCCAATATCTGTGATTGGCAGTCAGCTGGCCGCAAGGTGTAGAGCAAATGTAACCAACCTGCTCCAGGAACATTACATAATTTGTGACAATCTCACTGTACCCCTTACCACTATTGGTCAATCCTTGGGAAAACAAGGTTTCAAAGCCATTAATAACACTTCTATTTCAAATTGCCAGGGACCACAGATTGCAATTATACAAAGATGGGAAATTTGGACACAACTATCTTCAAATTGCAGTCACAACACCAATTGTCATTAACAAATAACAAATTACAATCATCTGGAGTAGGAACCCATTTCTGAGGAAAGAACAATCTTGATAGTATTTACAAGGGAGTTTAAATGACATATCGTACTGTACACTTGCACACATACCAATTTGTTTGCTCAAAGGGCTCTCATAACCACTTTGCTGGTTGTATGTACCCCCTTAGCAGCAAGTTTCAGAACTGAGCGAGTGCTGTACAACCTGCGAAAAAGCAACAGTAAGCATACATGAGTCCCCTGCCTCAGTATTATCCTTCTAGTTATGAAGGAAATGGTGTTTGGAGTGTGTATGCTAATTTCAAGAAAACATGGTTAACATATTTGAAAATTCTCGAATTTTCAAAGGGGATTCAAGCAAGTCTTAGAGACATAAGACATTGTCTGACATCTGAATCTAAGTGTGAATTTTAACCAAAGGAATTGGAGACGAGAATTTTAGCTTCAGAAAGTCAAAACCTTACCCTGCCAGAGCAAGTCCCCATGTAGAGAGGGCATAAAACAACTTCCCTGCGTGCCAAATGTTGAACGCCGTCTCCAACTTGTTCATGCCCCCCAGTCCTCTTTTCAAGGCTGCAATTTCAAGTTCAAGCCATGGGATTAGTGATTACAAGATTGCATGAATAAAAATAGTGCGCTCCAAGAGAAGATATAGCCTCTATGTTTCAAAAATGCAACATGAACAGCTCTACTAATAGATCACAAGCAACGCCCAACCCCACTCAAGTAATCTCAAATCAGCTCATTTATTCAACTGTTTTATAGACCTCAAGAATATCCATCAGAATTTAGTGAATGAGCAGACTAAGCAAGCCAGCAAATAATATTCATGAACAGGGGTGATACACATTCCATTAATGCTGCTATGGTACTAATTACCTACGAAAACATAGACCCTTCTCCAACACCCTCCTTCCCCCTCTCCCTGCACTCCCATATCCTCATTCCCTGGCTGCTCTGTGCTGGCAAATAACTGCCATTACACCATTTGGCTTCTGGTCATACACTCACCAAGGCTAATCTACGGAGTAACATTTTCAAGAGCAGACAAGCAGATCTAGTGAAGCACTGCTTGCTCTCAAATCAGTGACATTGCTGGGATATGGTGATGGACTATTGAATGTGTTGGAGCTAGCTATCCATGTTGAGTCTTGAAAAAGTGTTAAATGGCCCCATAGTTTTTTTCATGTGGTACTGGTACATAAAGGTGAATGGCACCACTAGGTAAAAACACTCAAGCCCTACATTATCTATGTTACATTACAAACTCTAGTGGAGTAATTAAGTCACTTTAAAAGAAACACCAAAATGCAAACACTTACACTTCTGCAGCTGCTGGGGACTCATGTTCTGCAATAACAAAACACCAACACGATAAGAAATATTTCACTATAGACCAGTTATCCCTGGAGGAAATCAAGGAGATGTTTTGAATCACCTGAGCTTTTGGGTTGGACAAAACACATCTAGCCATGAAGTTCGCAACTGCATCTACAACCTGTTCCTCATTAACAATCACATAATTATCATTATCAATTCCGCTCCTTTCCTCAACATTGCTCGGGACCATATCATCAGTTACCCAGACCCACCAACTTGGCTCTTCATGGTCAATTTTAATCAGAACTTCAGCTGTTTCCATGTCCACATCTAAACAATTAAGATTATGGCTTCAAAAATCATAAAAGCTAAAGAACATAATTCCAGCCACTGTCACCTGTTAATATTCCAGAATTAGTTAAAAGGAAATACGAAGCAAAACTTAGATCTCAACCTGATGCCTCCTGGAACGGAAATTTACAAACAGCACCAGGTGCCGAATTTGGATGCAGAGATTCCAGTTGTTTCAAAAAGTTCGCAGAATCAACGGCAGAAAGCAGCTTATCATGGAGCTGAAAATTGTCCAATTAAGAAAATGCAACTCAAATTAGAAAGGAAAAAACAAATATTTTACTAAACGAGTTAATTTTCCTTTTTTCCTTTTTTTTCCTTTAGGATGAAACTAAACAAATGTAAAAATTATGCTCTTCTTATCAACAAAACCTTCATTTATTTTCTATCATTATCATAATGTACATACATCGGATGGGCAATCCTGCAATAATTTAGGAGATTGCGAAATAGGCTGTAGAATATTCAGATTTTGTTCGAGCAGTTGCCTTAGGCGTTGGTTTTCGGATCGCAAAGCCTCCAAATCTTCTTCTACTTTGTTCGTCTGAATTGACGGCAGCGGCGGCGCCTCCTTGTGACCATCGTGGTGGTAGTGGTGACAGCATTCCACGGCGGCCCATGCCACGTCGGCCACCTCCAACACCGTTTTCGCCACTTCAATTGGATGATTAACTTTCATGGTTTCTCTCTGCAGACAAACAATCGCGCATATAATTTATTACGGAGTATATATGAATAGATGAATGGATTACGATAGAATCGCAGAGGTGGGAAACCCTAGGTTTGGTGGCGTGTAAAAATCGTCAAATTGTTGTCGTCTACTTGTCTTATGAGAAAGGCTTTTTTCTAAAGCCCCCTGTTTATTATGAAATATCACTTGGACCCTCTAAAGTTTTGAATGTTTTATTTTTCTCCAAAATGCTAAAGTTTGAGATAGAAGTGTTAATTCACTACAAACTCTTCCAAATCATGAGAAGTTGATGATGGTAATGTTTCTTTTGTGGGCTTATATGAGTGTATTGTGAAGTATACATCATATTGTATTTGCAAGATGTTTATTTTTAGTCTAATCATATGTTTTATCAACAAGTTAATTACAATTATACACTGAGACTAATCATGTTCTTGTTGGGTAGGACTTCAAATATTACAAAATATGCTTTCATGGGTTTTAAAGTAGTTGCATTCTCAATTTCATAATTCGAACTTGAAGCCTATAGTTATAATTAAAAGATATTTAAATGTAAATTGATAAAAATCACACTCAATATAACATTCTTTATGCTCAATTAAGTGGTTGTTACCATTTTACTTGAATTACCAAATCACACTTAATATAACATTCTTTATGCTCAATTAAGTGGTTGTTACCATTTTACTTGAATTACTTATCATGTAGTGATTGTCAATTTTCCACATCACCCCGAAAAGAAAAAAAAAATCACAAAATAAATTTAAACCTTTTTGTTCAAAATAAGTTGTAATCAGCCACAAAATGTTTAATTCAGATCTACACATCTTCTTTCGCCACTCTTAGAAGTGTGATGAAGGGCCAACATTCTGCTTACCATTAGCCCTAAGTTGCTAAGTTATTTATTTTTATTTTTTAGCATTTCGAACTAACATTTTTGTTTTTGTTATTAATGGCCTTTAAAAAAAAATATATATATGAATGACACATTCTTTTTATTCATGTATTCCTACTCTCAATATATTCCACACACAACATTGTGAAATGACGCCCCCCCCCCCCCCCCCCCCCCCCCCCAAAAAAAAAAAAGAAAAAAAAAAAAAAAAAAAGAGGAAATGAAAATAGGATAGTCTCGGTTGCTAATTTCCTTGAAATAAGAAGTGGTTTTAACTAGTCTGCAGAAATCATCTAATTTGAAATATTAAAACACAAAATGATTGGCAATGTGGAAACTTGGAAGGGTGAAAGGCTCATCTCTTGCCTCTATGTGTGACTTTGCTTGCTTCTCTACTAGCTGTTGTTTTACTAGACTGAACAGATTTAACATCATCCTTATCCTCGCTTGAAATGCCTTCATCAGCAGCGATATCCTTGGAGTACTTTTTAACCCGCAAGGAAATGAGGATGCTGGAAAAGATACCAAGAACCGGGAAGATATAAGACCAGACCTGAGATTTTCGTGACCCAGATGCAGAAGCCATAGCAGCACCGGCAAGACTACCAATTGACGTGTTCTGCAAGATCATAGGCAGGCAGCCAACTGCCGTAGGCAGAAGAAAATCCAAAAGGAACCTGACTCTCGTTGCCGCTAGTGCATAGTTGATAATGTACGAGGGTATAGGTGAGAAGCGGGCAAGAAGAACGAACCTCCATCCATCCCGCTCAACTCCCCTAGAAAGCACATTAAAGTATTTGTTGCTGTGGGCCCAGTTCATAGCGGAGCTAGAACTCTTGAACAAAAGCCTGAGGAAGCAACAGTATCAATGTCAAATTTCGAAGTAACTTATAGTGAAACTATATTGGGTTCCTAATTGGCCGCTGTAATGTAAAACTGTAAAAGAACTTCTGACCTAGGAATCCTAGGGCATCATCTGTAACTAGGATGAACAATGTAAACACACACATAGAATGAAAAGCGTTAGGAGTCTCCAGGGCCAAGACATACCACCAGTCTCGAAAAGAACTTCCACAGGTTGTTTGGTTGGAAGAAATTGAAATTCCTTTCCTACCCTAATTCCCTCCTTCCAACCAAACGGCCTGAACTTACAGATTGCCCACAGAGACGGAATTCTAGAAATTGAAATTGAAGTTCGAGTGAAGTAAAAAATCTTTATCAACTCAACCAATTCCCAGTGCCCACCCCCACCGCCAAAAAAAAAAAAAAAAAAAATCCTTCTGTGAATGCATCGACACATCCATTGCAATTCAGCATTAAGAAAATAAATAAGAGATTTTTTTTTTAATTGCTCAGAGAAAGCTGGGGTTAAGAGTCAGAGGGTGTTATTTTATTGCTAACAAGGTTGCAGTAGGCGCTAGGCACTAGACGGACCCGGCCAGCGCCTAGGCAGAATCTAGGCGACGCTAGGCGGGCGCCAAAAAAAATAAAATAAATAGTGGTAGGCTTGCCGTTTGACAATTTCAATGAGGTTGTTTTCAACATTCAATCAAATAAACGGCCAAATAAATGAAATAATAATAATTTATAAGTCATAACATCATAATCATAATAATATTAAAATCAATAATTAAGGAAAGACGACATCAAACAAAATCGGTCAAAATCAGACAAAATCAGACGAAATCGGACGACTTAGCCGAGTTGGCCGCCTAGGCGGCCGGCCAAGGAATGGCCGCCTACACCCAAAACCGGCAAGGCTTGGTGCCGCCTAGCGCCTAGGCGCCTAGGGGGGCGAGTTTTGTAACCATGATTGCTAAACGAAAAAGATTTATTTTCTTTCCTTAATACTAGAACACAACAATTTCATATTCCGTTAGGTAAACAAGGAAAACATTATGCCTTTGTGCTGTGAAACAAAATAGAATCTAACATACAAGTTAACAATTTTCACCGCTTTGATCATGCATTTATTTTATCAAGCAAGGCAGGAAATTTTCTACGTTGATGCCATCGGCCCTGGATGGATGGTCTCCAATGGAAGTTTGGGAGTGTGCTTGATTCAAATAAATTACTCCTGTTGTTTATAGACCATTCTGGACTTGCTTGTTAAGGAAGGGTTTTCAAGAAGAATCAGATGATTTTATTCACTTCCGCTTCAGGCGTTTATATACATCAAAGACTAACGTCATTCCCTAGCAAATAGCATAAACTACGCCACTGCACAAACTACATTATTTGAAGGAAAATACAAATAAAAATGCTCTCCAACTCCTACGTGATAGCATGCACGACCAGGACCAATTCATGCATACCTGTTATTTAGGATTTTCCTTTGGCACTCTTCGTGAACGGTGTGGCACATCAGATATATATTCATGCTCTAAAGAAATGCAATTCATGAAATTTCCCTTAGAGAGATAAGTAGATAACTATTGCCATGCATTTACGATTCTCTCCCACCATCATTTTGAGGTCTCCAAGTTATTTGCCATCTAAGGTTTCTTCCACAGCACAACATTATTGGTGGCATAAGACTCAAGAAGAGTTTAACTGTTGTTGTATTATGTTTGACAAGAATGCAAAATGAGGGTGTGTTTGGTTCGCACATAGGAATCGGAATTGGAATGGGTATCAAATACTTGGTAATGGTAATGGGTTTTGGTGAAAGTATTTAACATGTTTGGTAGTAGGGTGGAATGGGAATGGTTACTAATAGTAGTGCTTGAGAATGAATAAGGGAATGAAACCCTTATTTTATTTGGGTATGGGTTTTTCAATTGATGGGGTATTCGAAACCCATAGTAATGTTCTAAAAATTTATCAACCAAACAACAATAATCACTTTCATACCCATTCCTATGTGCAAAACCCACCAACCAAACACACCCTGAGAAGATTTCAGAGTTCCAATGCACCTGGGAGCCTGGGACTAGGGTTTTGGAGGAATACTGACATGCCACTAGAATAAGATTTTATACACAAGAAAAATCTGGGAATTATCCTGGGATAGTAGGATTTGCATCAACACACTTTCCAGAAAAGCTATATGGACTACCAGCCGGAAAGATGATCAAGCAAAGGAGTAAAGCAGAGGTCTTGATGTTTTGGTGGTAAGGCAGAAGGGAGGGTAAGCTCTGTTTGTCTTTGTAGTCCACTACAGCGCTACTATCTAGAGCATTGTACCCATATGTGAGTTTTTTAAATATTGTTTTACTCTGATGGGGGTAACAATATTACTGAACTAGGAAACAACTTATTGGAAAAATTAGTGACTTAATTAGTTAATTAGTTATGGCTTTTCTTCTTCTGAAAGCAAAATTTTGTAGTTATTAAATCCACAATTATGTTCATTTTATACAAAGTCATTTCCCTGATACACAAAACAGAGTACAGTATAGAATTCCATAACTTCATAATCCTCAATTTAGAGGTTTCTCTTAAATAAACTTGTTCTTCCCCTCTGATCTCTTGAGAAATGTGAAGGGTTTGGCAGTTCACAGAAACAACAATCAACGTATACATGACCGAAATCACTGAATAAATTTGAAAAATTCAATGAAGAGCAAACAAAAATCAAGGACTTTGCATTAAGCTTCAAAGTGAAATTTTGAACAAGAGAAAAACTTGTGAGAGAGAGAGAGGGAGGCGTACCTGCCGATCCAGAAAGAGAGGGAGGCGCCAAGGAGCTTGGCGGCAAAGACGCATAAGACGGCAGGGAAGAATCCGAAGAGGAAAGAGGCGCCGGCCTCGAAGAAGACGGCATAGGGCAGGCAAAGCGCAAGTGTGACGGTGTGTAGGCCAATATAGGCCGGGATCGCCCAGCATCCCAGCCGATCAGACATTTGCTTAAACCAATCAAAAGCAGCGTCCTTGTCCACCTCCCACCCATACTGCTTGCTCAGAGCCCTCACCGCCACCGCTATCCCCACCACCGCCGCTATCGTCCCCCATTTTCCTCCCAATCCCATTTCCAAATTGAGACGACCTCGTATTCGTAGTCCGTTTACCCGTACGAATCGGGACAATGTATTGGCGTATTGTGTCTGTATTCCTAGGCTGGGCTATAACTAATTGGGCTTTCTCTTTCGGTTACAGACTTGCAGGTCAATAAAAGAAAATAAAGAGAACATTTTTTATTTCTCTCCTTACTTGAAAAATGAGAGTTAAAGATTAGCAATTGTATATGGAATTAGAAATCATTTTGCAAAGGTAACTATTTAATAATCACTCACTAGTCACTATATAAACACAGATCTATGGTACTGTTACATTTTTAAAATAGAAGCAATACAACAAAAAGCCCTGCTCGCTGAATGTCTCTAATCTTTAAATCAGGTAGAAAGGCGGTGCCTTATTACACCGCGCGCCTCGTCCACCTCAAAGTTGGCTCTAGAAAATTCAGCACTGGTAAAGAATTCTCTAAGATCTGAGATGCCATAATCAAGTGCCTGCACACAAATGTATGTTTTCAATTAATACTACTCCTTACGAGAAGAAACAAAATTATAAGCAATTTAGTTGTGTCTAAATCACCACCTTGCTTTGCAGTTCATCCACTTTCACAGTAACATGGCTCAAATTCGCAGCAGAGCCAGACATGATTTCTTCCATGTGGATGGCATCCTTCACGAGCCCGCGCAATAGATGGAGCACAATCGCATTGAAATCCTTTTTAAATGTCATGTACCTTCTGAAGCTCTGCACACACATAACAAACCAGTCATTACATTCTTTAGTTCAGGCATGAATAGATTAACTAACTTCCTTGTGGGGTAGCATAGGCAAGAGTTCATTATAGTTACCCTTTGCAAAGCTTTCTGAACTCCAAATTTTTGTGTGGATATGAATGATTCCAGAAGGACTCGAATAGCCATGTCTACATCTTCTTGAGTAACATGCTGCCTAAGGTGCATTCTTGCATGAGCTTCAGACATTCTAATCATCGACTCTAGATGCCTCACTGCTATAGGAACTCCTTGTCCATGCTACGTGTTTCAAAACCAAAACTTAATATCATTTTTCTCATTAGTTATACTTATAATGATTTCTTAAAACAAAGGGAATTTTCTTACTGAAGATTCTCTTCTCAATTCAGCATAAACTTGTGTGAGCTTGTCTAAATCAGCATCATGCGACTTTGGGAAAACATTTAGCTTCGCATAAGTTAAGTACTTCTTTAGCAAATCCTGAGGAATTATCTGTGCACAAAAGACAAATTCTCAGCCCATTAATAACAGAAAGTTTGATAAATTTGGCTCCCTTGCACAAAGAATTCAAGGACAAACCTCAGGATCAAGTGACACATTAGATTGGAGATCATCCTGAGAATTATTCATGGACTTGTCATCCAAATTGGCCCCTTTTGGTTGTGACTTGAAATGACTGTCAACAACAAATGTTGCTAGCATTTCATCAATGACTGGGTCAACCACATCCTGCACAAAGCAAAAATCATTCCTGGTCAATACAGCTCATAAAAGTAATTAACAGGAAAACCAAATTCATGGAAAAGAAATCAAGCATATAACCTTGACAACACACATAATATCAAAACGAGAAATGATTGGATCTGTTAATTCTACATTCTGTGTAAAAGTCTTTGAAGAATCATATCTGCAACGGATTATTTTAAAATATTGGTTAGTGAAGTAATAAAAGAAAAAAACAAAATGACAAGCTTAATTTGTATAGGTAACCAAACATTAGATAAAGTAATAATTAAAAATTCAACTACTCATGCACCTTCCTCCAATAGGATTTGCAGCAGCAATGACGGAACAGCGTGCCTGAAGAGAAGTGATGATACCAGCTTTTGATATACTTATACTCTGCTGCTCCATGGCTTCATGAATACTTACCCTGAACGAATAAAAAGAATGAGTTAGAAGGGAAAAAATCTAGGAAGATAAACTAAAGCATCAAGTAACAAAAACTAGAAAAGGGTGGCATTTCCAACCTGTCCTGATCATTCATCTTGTCAAACTCATCAATCAGACAAATTCCTCTATCAGCAAGAACAAGTGCCCCCCCTTCAAGTGTCCACTCACGAGTGACTGGGTCCTTGTGTACTGCTGCTGTAAGCCCCACTGCAGATGCTCCTTTTCCAGTGGTATAAACAGCTCGCTGCCCTGTTTTCTCAATATACCTTTAAAAGAAGTTTCTAGTGTTAAATTACCAGTCACTTTCAACACTCAACAATTAAGTCATTCTGAAAATTCTTACTTAAGAAATTGTGACTTTGCTGTCCCTGGATCACCTAAGAGAAGTACATTAATGTCTCCTCGCAGCCGATGTTTCCCTTCAACAATTTTTTCTTGGCCCCCAAAAAGTGCAAGAGCTATTGCGGTCTTTATGTCCTCATGACCATATATAGATGGAGCAATGGATTTAACAATCTGATTTCCAGAACAAGTTTTCAAAAGTATAGAAAGGGAATTTAGTACTCTAACTCCAGCATTTTTCAGATGGAACAACTTGCCAATAGATAATACAGAGTAAAATTGATTGAAAAAGGGGAAAAGCAGCATACCCGCTCTCCAATTCTTGGATCTTTTGCCAACTTCTCTATTTCTTCTTTGTCCTCTTGAGTTAATTTGTAAACTGAAAAGAGATCGTGTTTCTTTGTGACATAATTTGCTTCAATAACAGTGGCAAACACAGGAAATCCATTCTTGGTATTCAAAGACAAGTCAAAATTGTTTGTATATATCCCTGTGACTTCCTGAAAATCAAGAGATAAGGAAAAGGCATGTGAATCAGAACCAAATAAGTTTACGACCAAGAGTTAAAACAACTATAGAACCAAATATATTAAGACTTTACAATCTCTTCTCCAGGACGGGCACAATCAATAAGATCATTCAACAGTATCACTTCCTTGTATCTAGGAAGTCGACCAGCAGGCACTATTCCTGGGCTCTCTTGTAGTGTCAGTTTCTGATAATTCCTGTAAATTGTCTGCCAAAAAAACAACGTAGGTAAATCATCCAACTTCTTATTCCTGCAGGTACAAGAAGACTCATATGAACTTCACCTGCTCAACATTGACTGTGAATGGACCTTTTGACTGGCACTCGGGACATGAACCAACTTTGACTTCAGAATATGAATTCTGGAAAAAGGGGCCCAAAACTGACCCACACTTGTTGCAATCAAACTTTACTTGCTGCAGCTGAGGAAAGACTCCGGACCGTCGGGTAACAACTCCCCCAATACGAATCATGGTGTTCAAATGAATCTGCCTGAAGAAAGGAATGAAAATTCGCATGACTAGTGTACAACTTCAAGGATATTTAATGAAGCAGATAAATAGGATTGCCATTTTACCTGATATTACGAATCTGATCATAAACTGGTAAATTTGAAATACGAACATGGATCTTTTGATGGATTTGCTTATAGTTGGGATGCAAGTCAAAGACAACCTTGTTGGCGACTTCCTCCATTACTTCAAGGACAGACTGGGGTGCATCTGCCAACCAGATGGCAATATTGGGATGGATGTATATAAATTGCTTGTAATCAATCTCAAGGCTACACTTGTTAACTGCAGACAAGAAATGAGCTAGCTGAGTCAGAGAGTAAACATGAGACATGTTAGAAAATTAGGTTTACAGGAGAATTCAAGGGTTAGAAAGCATATGTATAATGAACTTGGAATGTAAAATCAGATATGGCATGAACTAAGTTTACTTTCCTAAAAGTTTCAAATCAACCCTGGGCAAGGGTACATGATTGAACTCTTGAGATACAAAGAAGAAGCACAATCAACTTGCTCTCTTTACAAAGTTGATCACAAAGGTATTCACTTAGGAGAGATATCTCTCATGAGTGTCATGATCACTCTTCTGAACATGGCAATACAAAGATCAAATGTCATGATTACTCTGTTAGTGACTCACCTAATGCTTTATAAAGTCACCGTGCTATAGGACAAGAAATACCAAGTTCAATCCATGCACTGAAAGACGTACCTGACACCATCTCATTTATCTGTTTTAGATAATCTTCCTGCATAGTCTTTGGGTTTACATATGTGCGCAAAAATTCTTTGAACTTTTTTGCAATAAAGCGCCGAACTTCATCCCGTGTGACCCACTCCCTAAGAGTTCCCTGAACCCTGTACATATCAAACTCTCCTTCATCATTGTCTTCATCCTACAAAAAAATACCCATGAATTAGTATTAGTATATTGATAATAAAAGAAAATCCACAAAGTGGCTTGTGATTTATGAGTTAAAAAAGGCACAATCAGAAACATGTCCAGACCTCATATGGATCATCATCAGTCTGATCTGTCATTGGCACATCTCCCGGGCTGCTCCCTCCCCCTCTCCATCTAGCTCCCCCACCGCCTGGTGAACTCTGCATTGCATCACTATCATCAGCACTTCTAGGTGTCGTTGGGGGTCTAAAATCAGCTCGAGTTCTTTTTGATGGTCGATAGTTTTCATCATCAGTATCTGCAGCAAAACATCACATGTCCAGTTTTAGTATTTAGATAACAATTCCTCTAATATCTGCCTCATAAATGAAGGGGGAAAATACGAAGTAGACACTTCAAATCAGCTTAAATTTCAATTGTTGAGAGAATCAGAGCAATTAGTATGTTTATTTGATGCACAGTGGCTATCAGAAAATTTTCAGCATACCATGTATTCATTAATGAATTGCATAACATGATAATGCTGACAATGAGGCTGCCTCACTAGGGGATGCAAAAAAGCAGTAGTGAGGCAATGAGAGACATTCAGCCTCAGACAACTGAACAAAGCAATGAAATAGTGCAAATTGCTAAAATGATAGTAATAGTTTTGAATAACTGACAATTGCAATGTGTAAACCCAAACCAAATATCAATTTATAATGTATGGAGGTATGAAAGAAAACTAATATCAGACTAGCAAATAAACAAAGGCAATAACTTAATTATCGAATTTCATAAATACTCCCGGAACAAGGGCACAGGCACACTCACTGACTGTGTGACCTAATGTGTCACTTGACATGCTGAAAGCACTCCCTTTTTCGTAGGTAGATAAAGTAGTTTTCAAAAATTCCCTTCCCCCCCACCCTCTCTCAGCAGCTGCCTCTTCACAACAAGTACACTCCTAGACTAGTTTTGTAAACAGCCCCCTACACTTAACATTGCAGAGCTTTTTTTTAAAAAAAAATGCTTTAATTAATTAGCTACTAGATCATGTTAAAATAGTCTACTGGGATAAATATGAAACTTTTTGTGTGTTTATTTTGTCTCAGAACAAGGGATAGTTATATGTATCCAAGTAACATTCTTAAATTAAAACGTAGAGCAAAAAATTGCAAGATAATAAAGCAAATGCAAGAGATACGAATGCCAAATGATAGCTGGACCTTGATCATGAAGAAGCTGAGGCAACTTGCGGTTCGAGACTCGAGCATCTCTGGTATCAAGCACAGCCTCAGCAGCCCGGCGGTCCGCCATGATCTGATCAAAACCCCTCTCATCTTCTACCGAATCATCTAAACCAAGCGACTCGTATTGGTCCTGTTCATCCATTCTTTGATAGTCGCTGGTAATTCGAAGAAATTAAAGAACCAAAGCAAAATCAGTGCAAAAACCTCGTGCAGTCGAAATGTAAAAATAACAGCAAAATTACAACATAAATTAAAAAAACACAGTTGTACTAACTCGAGGAAATTGTCGTGGAAAAGGTCCTCTCCTTCCTCTTCGACATCGGCCACATCATCAGGCTCGTCTCTTATGATCTCCGGATCCACAGAAGCCTCGTCTTCGTCGGAGTAAGGCTCCGACGCATGGCTGGTGTTGTACGGCAGTTGATCCGTGTTGAATCCCACCGAGGTAGGCGAATCAGGTGTCGAAGCTGGGTTTCCATTTCCGTCATTGGGGGACAACGGCGGATCGGACGGACGCCTATCACCTTCTCCCGCCATTTCTTCTGTCTGTCTCTCTCACTCACTCTCTCTGACTGGATTAGTGTCTGTGTTAAGTTGCTCTGTAGGGTTAGGGCACACCCGCGCACGGTAGTTACACAGAGAGGGCATTTGTTTTTGGCGGGAAGTTTTGGCGCCAAAGTGAAGCTATGGGCTGACGCTGACCGGCTGACCCAATAAAATAAAATTCACTGTGGGCTCTAGTCTTTGGGCCAATACATATACATTGGACAGATTTTTATTTTTATTTTTACAGATGAGCGAATCAGTCTTAAACACAGTATAAATTGTGTTTTTTTAGTATTGCAATTATGGACTTTTAGAATATAAATTGTATTTCTAAATTAAAACACATAACAGTTGTAGAAAAAAATTTGTGAAAGTAATACATGATCATTAAATCATAATCTGTTAATATTCGAGTTCTAGCTAGAAACATGTCAATTACACACCAGATATTGGTGAGAACTGAGGGCAATGCCCCCTAACCTGAGTGGGCCTACCTGCGAAGCAACTGGTACTTGATCGGGCAGGGCAATTTGGTTTCATGCAACGTCCTCGCAGTAGGTGTGACTACAGTATTTAAAAGGAACTTGTGAATACAAAACAAGGTAATTAATTACATATATTTTAACATTGTGTGTTCGTAGTATACAAGTGATTTTTAAAAGGTAAATTGTTAACATTTAGTAGGTAAATGTTGTGTGATTTTTTTTGTTTACTTGAGTTGTAATTCATCGGGGTTCGAACATATGACCCACCATCCTTTATATAATAAAGCTATATGGTTTGAAAAATAATTAATGTTACAATTAATGCCACAACATCCTTTATTATAAAAAAAAAAAAAAAAACACAACATTTTAAAAATAAAATAGCTATATATTATATAATCATATAAAAAATATACTTTTGAAAAATAAAATAGCTATATATTATATAATCATATAAAAAATGTGTTCAATTAGAGTTTAAATTTACACATACAATATTTGAAATTTGCTTTCCAAATGTAATTATCTTAGTTATTATTCGTATTGTGAAAATTATAATATAGATGAAATACAATTAAGAATAAATCAATGTAATTATGTAAATTTTCTTTATAGGTTTATTTGAATATGCACATAATTAGAGATTATATTAACCATACTTTTTTTTTTTGAAGGTGAGATTATATTAACCATACAAAATTATAATTTTAATATTAATTTTAATTGTAATTTTGTATTCTATAAAAATAATAAATACTTGACCAATGGAAGCTCAAAAATATTATTATATTAAATAATTTAAAATATTTTAGTTTTTCTATTTTTTATTTATATTTATAATAACATAATTTTTTTCCGTGCATCGCGCGGGTGAATTACTAGTTTAAAATAATAACCAAAATGTCATCACACTACATTGTAGTTGGCAGACCACTAATTATTTTAATCTCTAATTATCTAATTTTTATAAATATATAGTCCTACATTTTAAGTTCGCTCATATGCCATTAGGGTGATGGTGTGGTAAATAAGATGATTCCCATAAATACGTATGAGTTTCGGAGTCAGGTTTAGGTCCTTCTATTGCCTACTTGTTGGTTTAAAAGTTAAGCTCGGTTGATGACGTAAGGTCGGAGGTTCCCGAGCTTGATAAGGCTAGATAGAAATTGTTCAAAAGTCTCTCTTTTTACAATAAATGCAGTATTTATAGATGAGAGAGAAGAGACACATGCCGGACCCCAGCATACTCAGCACATGTCGCACATGCAACGGCCAAACTCGAGAGGCGCACTTCATCAATTATGTGTCCTAAAAATTCTGAATACCTATTAAAACCGGACTGAACCATAGTTATAGGAACAACTCGGAAAGATTGTCCCGAGCAAATATAGTCGGGCGGTGATCCCATAACGTTCTAGAGAGTCAAGGCTAAGGTCGGAATAGAATCCACTCGGCAGCCGAGTCGGGTCACTAGCAAGTACACGGTTCGGGTAATATTTCCTATCGGGTGATATTTGCAAAATCGCATTTTAGCGAAATCGGTTTAAGAAATTAACAGAAGCATATGTTAGACGGTAAGGTAAATAATTAATTTAAAACATACTCCGTGACATCGAAGTTTTTAAAATGCAACCATGGATTAATATGCTTTGATTACTTCCATTCTACTTGTAATTAAATTAGAATTTTACATTTTAATACAAAGTCCTCAACCATGCAAAGAGTCAGTGTACATATCAATCTTGTCTCCACCTTCTACAAGGCCATTGCAATGTTCAGACCATCTTAGATAAAGTCCATGGAGTGTTGATATTGGCTTCTCCATCCAAGTGAGCTGGAATCTGCTTTCTGTTGCCATTCAAAGAATCAACAAAGAAACTAAATACACTTACCCAGATCAAAACTTTAGATGATCATGAAAGGGTCTACATCCTTCTAAATCAAAGAACATGAACCTGCGGATAATCCCAACCAAGTTGACTAAGAATACAAACTTATAACCACAAGGTCTCGAGTTTTAATCCCAGCCTTCTTGGTTTGAGTTGGTTTGTTATGGTCAACTTAGGCTGGTTTACCTCATTGTGATCTTTTGCCGGCTAGGGTCACAAGACGGAGTTTATCTAGTGCACAATCTTGGACAGTAACTGCGAGTTTCCCTCACCAAAAGAACATGAACTTGCCTTGACAACCATGCTGCTTGGTCTGCTGTTCTGATTTGGTGAGGTAACAAGGATTCTTTCACCCTAATGATAAACAGTCAAGGGGAAATGTGAATACAACCATTTACTTAAAATTTTATTTTGAATATGGGATCAAGAAGGAACTTCCACCTCAGGTTCTTGATGAAATATTAGGTGTATATCTCCTTTTCAAGCTTATAATCAGCAACTTCCTCTAGAATCAATTTAGTCCAATCCATATCAGATGTATTCGACCACTGTTATCACCAGTAATCAGCACAGGAACATAATCCATCACGGAAGCAATGGAAACGGTTAGCATCTCTAATAATTATAACTCTACGCGTGACCATTGCAATAAGTTTTGCTGCAGAATGGCAATCATCACACATCCGTAGGTTCTTAATGACCCGAACTGGTGCATGAGGAGGTGTCTTCATGAGAGCATACGCAATGGCCAATTTCTCGCTGTGATAGCTAAGGTAATCTTAATCTTCTTTCTGTTCCTCCTCCACGTCGTGCAGGTCAGAAGCTATATCGGGGACGTAACCTAACGGTTTTATCATGTTCAACAACTCTCTTATCTTCTCATGAACCCGAACAGTCTCTGGATGCATGTTATCACCAGAAACGAAGATGTGGGTGTTATTCTTAATTTCTGTCCAGCTTATTCCGGGTTCCTTTTTGACATTCCTTTCCCTCATAAGCTTCCTCATCCTTGCAACTCCATCCCACCTCTTCACTCTAGCATGCATGTTAGACAACAGGACATAGGTTCCCACATCATAAGGATACATATTCAACATCAGTTCTGCAACCCTCTTACCTAAACCGTAATTTCGATGGACATGACAAGCACTAAGCAAAGTCCTCCAGGCAACAACATCCCATGTGATAGACGTGGACCTCATAAAGTTCTCGGCTTCGTTGAGTCTTCCCGCCTTACCTAGAAGCCCAACAACACACGTATAATGTTCTAACCCGGGCTTAATGTTCATTTCCCTCATTAGATGGTTCAGATAGTTGAAACCTTCGTCTACTTGACCCAAGTGCCCACAAGCAGATAAGACTCCTATAAAAGTTACATAATTTGGCTGTTCTTTGGAAGCCAACATGCTCTTAAACATGTTAATCACACCCTCGCCAAGTCCATGATGCGATAAACCAGATATTATCGAATTCCAAGTCACTGTATCTCACCCACCATTCTTTTCAAAATGCCCAATGCTTCAGTTACATACTCGCCATCCAAAAGGCCATTGATAAAAGAGTTGTGAGTGACATTATCCGATCCCGAATCCAATACCCTCATAGCTCCTTCCACATCTGAAGAAATCGAGTAAATGCTGACAAGCCCATTCTTCACATACTGATGAGACAACAACCCGGACTTCACCACATAGCCATGACACTGCCGTCCCTCATCACACAAACCACTGCTTGAACAAGCAGAAAGAACTGTGGATAAAACATACTCATTTGGACGCAAACTGCCCACTGCAATCATGTCTTTGAACAGTTCAAGAACATCATCCACAAAACCACTGCGGAAATACCCTGCCATTATAGCACTCCAGGAAACTATGTTTCTTGCACGCAATTTGTCGAACAGATGGCGGGCAACGGGGAGCTGGCCACACCTCGAGTAAAGACCGATAAGAGAATTATGGTGGACAACATGGCATTCAGAGGCTTGATTGGATACAATCAAAAGGGCATGTATGATTTTTCCAAATTTGAGGTTCTTATTTTCTGCTAAAGTTTTTAGCAATTTGGTAGTGTGCTCAATGGAGAAGATTATTTGATGTACGCTGGGGAGAAAAGAAATTCCCATAGAAAACATGAGAATAAATTTTTCTTTCTATGCTGTTCTATTGGCAACTCCACCTTAAAATATTCTTCTATTGTTCATACGAGTAAATATGAAATTGGCCTTCAAATACTGATTGTGGTATTCAAATAGAAATCACCACCCTCTAAAACCATTAGTTCATGTTTAGTTAGCTTCAATTGTAGATAAACGAACTAGTTAGCACATGCTTTGGTGAAAGCGATTGTCTCTTAGTCTAATACTCGTATTTGGGAGTCTAGTTCCCCGGATTATTATGCATCTTCTCCATTAATAATAAGAGTTAATGACATATTTGGTCCTGACTAAGGTGTCCCTCAATAATTTGAAATTTTAAAATGCACTATTAATATTAACATAATTTGTTAGTGGTGGACTAAAATTGCTACTTTACACATAATTGAGGGGGCAAATTTGTGTATGGTAATAATTCAAGAACCGAGTATATAATATATGTATAATTGATGGACTAAATCAGTTATTTTTCTAAAATAGAAAGAAAAATAAAAACTAGAAGAAGAGTTGGTTTGCGTGTGCTAGCTAGGAGCACCCAGTGAGTGATCAGTTAGGGTGGTCGTCAATTGACAAACACCCTAACTTAATTTTATTTATTTTTAAATAAAATCTTGTTTAGGTATCTCTCTCTAAAAGTTGTCTCTAGCTTCCCTCTCAAAACCTATCCCTCAAGTCCTTCTACTTTGTCCCGCGACCGCGCCTCCGCTTGCTTAGCGGAGGCGGCGTCTGCTCCTCTTCCCTTATTGCCATCTTCCTTTTGCTTGTACTCACCTCTTGTCTCCCTTCTCGCCTCCCCCACTGCCTTCCACCACATCTCCGTTTTCCTCCATTGTCGTCGTCTTTTTTCCAAAAAAAAAAAAAAAAAGACTTTTTTTTATTATTCTTTTCTAATTTCTTGACAAAAAAACCTCATTTTGGGTTTTAACTTTTAACTGTTAGATGATGCCATAATCAAATATGAAAATTAGTAAGTGTTGAAAAAATTATTTTCCCGCCAAATTTGCAGTTAAAGAAAAGTTGTTGTTGTAGTATTTTTTTTTTTTTTTTAATAATGTCACTCCATAATTTAACAATTAAACAAATGGAATATATTATCATAATCCTGGTTTTATTGGAATTATTTATTATTATTATTATTATTATTATTATTATTATTATTATTATTATTATTATATAAAAAGAAATCCTCCGATCAGAGCAGTGGCCAGTGAGTTCAATCCCGGTTAGTTGAACTCGGAAAGACAGTACTTCACAGTTCACATGATAGTGTGATATACTATCCTATCATACAATGATATAAATGCTTCAAACTCGTACCAATAAATAACTGGATCGAGTATTAGTTGTTAAAAATAATTAGTTTAAATTTTAAATAATAATAATAATAATAAAATTGAAACATCTCCGGCGGCCGGATTATTCTGAGATGCAGCTAGCTACCGGTCTCATGCACTTCTCTGAATCATCTCCTGAAGCCTCTTGAACGACTCGAGCTTCTGCAACCGCATCCGTTTATGGAACTTCTGGATGAACAAATCGGCGACGTGGTCGATCTCGTCTTCCAGGCGGAACATCTCGCCTTCGTCTTCCTTCGAACTCCGAACCATCTCGATCACCGACGCGTTCGGATCGTCCTCCTCCTCTTCCTCTTCCTCATCGAACAGCGAGTGCCGGAGATCCGGATACTTATCGTTATCATCGTCGTCGTCGTCATAACTGTATTGATCAATCAGGTATTGTCCGCTCATCGTCTCCGCCTCAATGTGAGTGCTCTCGGAGGCGGTTGCGGCGTTTCTGTTGGAGATTACGGCGGCGACGTCCTTGGCTGCCAGCGCCGCCGCCTCCTCCTCGGCGTCGCCGTCGTCGTGCGCGTGTTGCGCGAGCAAGGCGTGGATCTTGTGAGAGATGGCTCCGAGGCCGAGGCGGCCTTGCAGAGACAGCTTCCTGCTCTTCATCAAGGAGAAGAGCATGATTTTAGCTTTCATGGCTCCGGTTTTGTCTCTAATGGCGACGGATTTGGACTTGGCCAGAGCGCTCAACACTGAAACAACATGCTTCACGAAAACGGCCACCTTACTATTCTTCATTTTCACTATATATGATCTCTGATCTGATCTAATCTAATCTTTTGCTTTGAATTGATTTCTAGGGTTTTTGGTGCAATGGCTGAAATTAAAATCTAAGGTATAGGGGGAAGTATTAGAGACGATGTAGGACTGAGGGCTTGACTATATGGAAGGTGTGCTGAAATAATAGAAGGATGATAAGGATGGTCTTATATAGAACTCAACAAGTGTGCTTTCCGTGCTTGACAGCGGTTTCTTAGCAATTATTAGTACGTAATCCTCTTCTAATGTCCCACGTTAGTGGGATTTAATTATATAAATTAAAGGAGCGAAGTTATATTTTGGAGGCTTAATTCCAATTTTGCCCCTTGGATATTGCTTTTTTACTTTTACTCTTTCGATTTAATATCAATATTCAATAGTATTATATTTGACCATAAATTATTTTAAAAAGTGCTGCTCCAATGTAATATTTTTTTTGGGAACTCCATCCAATTAAGTTAGCTAGACGGTTGATTTGGTAACTTTTCAAGTTCAACTTTTAGTAGAGGTGGTCTATTGGTCATATTATTGCATTAAGCCGGTCAACTATAGACAACTTAGACTCATTTATTTTCTTGTGGTCCTTTGTCGACTAATATTTACCTATTGTATACCCTTAAGTAATGATTGTGGGTTCTTTTAGTGATCTAAGAACATGATACATTTTCAATAATCGAGATAAAATAATCTAATTGTTGTGACTCGAATAACGTTGTTTTTCTTATCTTCCTAGCCATGGCCTAGGCAACTGTGCATAGGACGTAGAACTACATTATAGGACTGGTGTGTAGGAATGGATCGGAGTAGTTTACAAGGCATGTATTTTTACAAGTTAGTATCTGTTCTACTATGAAAGTTTGTCAAGATTTTTTTATTTTTTATTTTTTTTAGAAATACTCGTGATTCTTTACAAGTTAGTATCTGTTCGATTTACTATACTTTCTCATTTTTTTAGCCTAAAGAGTCAATGCTCTCAGCATCAGAGTTCGATCCTGCAACCACCCAAATAATAGCAACGTAACAAATAATAACAAGTAAGTGATCTAACTAAATGAATCAAATAAGGTGCCTACAATGGCGTAGAAGGTCGGGATCAAAACTTGGTTAAATCTTGCTACAATGCTAGGTAATAACAACTTGGAATCGGGGAAAATTACTAAGGCTAGGGAATATGAGAAATACCACTACTGAAAATTATGGAATTTCCGACCACCTAAAAGTGATCTTAAATTAAGTCGAAAGCCTTGTTCCGACCACTTTTAGTATTCGGAAAAACCTTTGTTGCTATTTCCGACCACTTTTTGGTATTAACTTGATTTAAGATCACTTTCAGGTGGTCGAAAAATCCATAATTTCTAATAGTGTACATCAAAGACGACATCCAAATACTAGTTGATCAAAAGTGAAACAAACACTACAAGCAATAAAATCACAATTAAACTCAACTCTATTTTAACATTTGCATAACGTTACAAGTTTATAGAACTAAATCTCCTATCTAAACTCGAGATTAACTTGTATTTCATTTAATTTATATGATTTTTGTAAGTAACACTCTCAAGGTCAATAATATATACCTAACTTTAGATAGCCTTCTTTAACCCAACCCACAATGTAAATCTTAAACAACATAAATAAATGAAACAATATTAATAAAATAATACATCTGTCAAGCATTAGTGCAGTAAAATATAAGTGGTGAGGAACAGATGGATTCTTGCTTTTGAAAAAGATATAATAAAGCTGCAAAGCAAACCCATATAAGTTGGCTTATGCACTTTACTTAGCAAGGGAGGAGAAACTCTGGGGTTGCTTAATTAGGGCTTAGGACCAGAGTCGTCACTGTCCTTGTGTTGTTTAGAATCTTAGATATTTTTTCTTTTCTATTTAGTAATAAAGATAAAAGATCCATTTATGTGTGGCCTGCACGTGATTAAGAATACAATATTATTTTGCTTTAGAGGGTGACTATAATATATATATATATATATATATATATATATATATATATATATATATATATATATATATATCTACACGTACGTACATTGATACATGCATGCACATGTGTATGTATGTGTACGTATATCCTATATCCTTATATTATGAGGGAAAATTGCATAGAAAAATATGATCCCGTTTGTTCGCTTATTTTTGCTATAATGTTATTGGATTCAAATTTATTACTAATCATAAAATTTAATAATTATGAAAAGGTCATTGTCCATGCATTCAATATAAAACTTTTAGATTCGAAGTGGGTGGTTAAATGGGTAAAAACATAATGACTTTCGAATTTAAAGATTATGAATTCAATTCTTGCCACTACCCTCTTGGTTGAGCCCGTTGCATGGGGTCTTCATAGTGCAGTTTACCTTTCTTGTGTGATTTGCGGGTTATTACATATGACCGAGTTTCCCAGTCATATAAAAAATATGGAGCTTCAATATATATATATTTATAATTTATTTATTTATTTTATTTCAATTCATATTTACTACAAAGCAAATAGATTTATTTGACTTAAACTCATTATAATTACCAAAAACACAATCTTACGAGAAAATACAATTCTATAAAAAATATACCCCTTAAAATCATGCATAACATCACAAATAATAATTTCATGATTATAAATACACACAAAATTACTAATTTACCCCTCTATAAATATATGTAAATAAATATTCCAACAAATTTAAACAAAATCATGATCATACACGAACCTAAAATCAAAGGCGGAGAATATTGGTCCTTAATTCTCATATATATATATATATGAACTATGGAACAATAGTGGCACCGCCCAATACAAAGTTACAGACCTGAAAAGAAAAAGATGCTAAGGAATCCTCATAATGCAAAAAAAAAAAAAAGAAGAAAAGGAAAAGGTAAATTTTAGTTGATGTAAATGATAGGGGTCGCATTCAAAAACAAAAAAAATAAAAAATAAAAAATGATAGGGGTCACCTTACTATTGACCACAAGATTATTAGATAATTTTTATATTTAATTTTTTTAAAATATGATTTTTGTCACTTAATTAGATATACGTGATTTCCGATCCGTTTTTTTAAAATCACATTTAGTCATTCAAACAATTTTTTTGCTAAACAAAACTCCCAAAATGTGTCATATTTTATATTTGAAACTATACTTTTTTTTCCCCAAAAGTGTTTATACATTCAGTCATTCAAGCCGAATATGCCTTTAAACTAAAAATATGACATGTTTAACTGTTTTCTATTTGCAATTTGGTTAGAATGTTTGAAATATTAAATGCAGCAAACAAATAGAATTTGTGATATCAAATATTGCAAAAGTAATACTCGACGAGTTTAGAGTAACCTTATTTTGAATTTTTTGTTTGTTTTTGCAGCTTCTTCTCCCATTTGTTTTCCTTTTTCCTTTTTATTTTTTTATTTTTTTGGTTCTGACATTTGTTTTCCTTTTTCCTTTTTATTTATTTTTTCTTGTTCTCTCTTCTCTCTCCCAATCATGCTGAAAAAAATCAATAAAAAAAACTCAAACAAATGGGATTGCGCTTAATAAATTTTAAGATAGTAAGTAATTAACACTCAAATAGATTTTGTGAAAGAAATAGTTATGAGTGGTGAGAGAAAGACAAGAGTGGACTTGATTGGTGGGTCCAATTGACGTTTTGGGCTTGACACTATTAACTAATTAAAGTCCATTGGAAAATTATATATACACAATAAGCCTTAGCCCTTAAGAACTATGATGGGCCAAAACTTCAAGACCATGAATATTCTAAAAATTAATGAGATTTAGAATGAGTTAGAAATAGGTAAACTGGCTAATGTGGTCTAATAGCACCAAATTGCTTTCCCATATAAAAGGTTATAGGTTAAGTCTTAGTGGATGCATACTGCATTGTAACATATATACCAACCAATTAGCAATAGCGCTTAAGACTAAGTTCGGGTTGCGTGATTTTTTATATTTTTTAACACAAAACGACGATGTTTTGGGACCCTGATTCACACACCTGTGTGGATCGTTATTGACCAAGCTTCATACCTGATAATATGAGAACTCAGAACAATGCTTCGTATAAAAATATAAAAAAATGTAATATTATTTTTGTAATTAGTATAAAATTTTTAAAGTTTATGAGTTCAAAAGGCCCAACCAAGCAACTAAAGCGGTTTGATAGAGACTTTAGAATTCCCTCATTATGCAAAACAACTTTGAATTAGTTTGGGCGTAAAAATCAGTATTGTATGTAAAATAAAAGAATAAATTAATATCATGCCATGGGATTAACATTAGTGACTTTAGTATAGGAAAATAATTTTTAAAAATTAAATATTTCTTTTTTGAAAAACGAAATGAGATTAGAATATTTGATCTCCAGATGAGAAGGAAGGAATTAGTGTTGTGTCATCCATCATTTTTTATCAGTAAATTGATTAGCGCGACAAGCAAATGTAGAAAAAAGGGGAAAAATAAAAAGTAAAAAATAAACAAAAAGGTAAATTCCGAATTAGCAATAACGATCCGAAAATCGAGCTAAGAGGGAGCTCCGCCTTGGCCAGAGACGGCTGGGAGGGGAGGGTTCATTTTCGTGTATGATCGATCAGAGTCTCCTTTGCTTTCTCTCTCTCTCCCGTCTGATCCAATCGATCCCCGCTCCGGCACCGATTAGATTTTCCGGCAACCAAGGACAAGAGAGAGCGAGAGAGCGAGCGAGCCACATTCTTCTCCCCTTCTTTCAGAACCCTGCCCTGCATTCATTGCTCATCGTTTCCCTCCCCCATTATCAATCTCGCACACGGATCATACAGATACTCTTTCCTGCTTTCCACCGCTGAATTAAAAAAAAAAAAAAAAAAATTGCAACACTAATCCAAGGCTTTCTAATTCTCATGCATTTTGATGATATTTTGAGTGAATACTGAAATATGATATTGAATGCATAACCGGGTTGGTTATACGATGCCGTTTGAATTGAATTTTACGTTTTCTCTCTGGTGATTTCCTTGGAAATGGAAATATACGTGCGTGCATGCTCGTTTCATGTTTGTAACGCCGCTACTATACTTGTTGATGCAGAATTGGTGATTTGTCGGTGACTTTGGAGAATCCTGTGTTGTTGATCTCTGCCGTGATTGCGAAGGAATATGTATCAAACGTCCAATGCACCTGCGCATGATCTAGCTAGCACCAACCGGCGAATGATCGACGTTAATTCTCCAAACCTCCGACTTTATCAAGTCTGGAAAGGAAGTAATGTATGCTTGGTCCAATTTTCTTCTTCGCAATTCTTTCTACTTCTGCTTTTGTATGATATACTATGTATGCACAACACATGAAACCAAAGAATGAACACTTACAATACAAATTTACTCGATAACAGTGTATAGCATCCTCTGAAGAAAATTTTGAACTCGTTATGTTAGTTTAGTGCATCAGTGCATGTATTATTTGCCATATATGCTTGAATCAGTGAAGTTGGAATAGCTCATTATCCTACCTTCTTTGTCTTTGCAGAAATTCTTCTTTGGGGGCAGACTTATATTTGGACCGGATTTCAAATCAATATGTTTCACATTGTGCTTAATTTTGGTTCCAGTACTCTTGTTTTGTGTTTTTGTTGCAGAAGGACTTATGAATAAACTCCCCAACCGAGTAGGCTATATTCTTCTAGCAGTAGCAGTTCTTTTTACTTCCTATGTGAGTTTTTTACTGGTTGAATTGAACAAAGATTAGCTGTGGGATCTTAGTGTGTAAATATTTAGTTTTTGAGAATATAAATATGAGATTGTTAGATTACCATAACAATAATCTCTAATTTATTGATTATGTCAAGGAATGCAGATTATTATTCTTCTGTTTCTCACTTCGGGAAGTGATCCTGGAATAATTCCCCGAAATTCCCACCCCCCGGAACCAGATGATGAAGCAGATACATCAAGTATCTCAACTGACTGGGCAGGGAGTACTCAGAGTGGTATGAGTTTACCCCCAACAAAAAGTGTTACAGTCAATGGGATAGTTGTGAGGGTCAAATACTGTCAAACATGCATGCTATACCGCCCACCACGCTGCTCTCATTGTTCTATATGTAACAACTGTGTTGAACGCTTTGATCACCATTGCCCGTGGGTGGGACAATGTATTGGAAAGGTAGGCATAAGCTTGCTATCCATCTGGAAGAAATAAAGAATGTCCTGTAAGCTTGGTATAGTATGTCCTCATAAATTGAGTAGCCTAACATAGTTATGCCATTAAGGCCTATGCTCCTTCTTTACCTACTGGGTGTATTTTTCTGGAAGTCTTCCTTTTGATATGTTGTTATTATTAGTATCATTATTTAACTTTTAACCTGACAGTCTTGGTTTCAACTTTTTTTGCAGAGAAATTATCGGCACTTTTTCATGTTTGTTTCCTCTACGACTCTCTTGTGCCTGTACATATTCACTTGCTGTTGTGTAAACATTAGACTGATAATGAAATCAGGAAATTTCTCTTTCTGGAAGGCTTTTACCAAATCACCTTGTTCAGGAATTCTTATGATGTATACATTCATTGTTTCTTGGTTTGTTGGAGGTCTCACTTCATTTCACATATACCTGATTCTCACAAATCAGGTTCATTTCAGTTTTCTTACAATTGATGTATACTTATTTTTGGTCCACTCTCTCACCCTTCATAGTGATGTCCTTGTTGCAGACAACATATGAGAATTTCAGATACCGCTATGAGAGGAAGATGAATCCCTATAACATTGGAGTTGCCCACAATTTGAGGGATGTCTTTTGCTCTAAGATTCCTGCTTCTAAGAACGACTTCCGTGCAAAGGTGAGAGCTGATTTTGGTTCAAGCTTCAACAGTTCAACATACCCAAGCAGCTCCTTGAGCTCAGATATGTCCAAAGTAAGCCACAACGTAGATATAGACAAAAGACAGGCTGTTGAGAAAAATGAATTTGAAGACATACGAAAACAGATTAAGAGCATTGGTGACTTAGAGAGATGTGAACCCCAACCTAAACGCAACAACTGGGACGATAAACGGGAGAGAAGTCCCGAATCACATTTAACGAATGTCGATAATCAGGTAGAACATGGTGCAAAGGACAGGGAGAAGATCACCAGAGCACGCTGACAGTTGAATTCTGTCCTTCAAGGCTCCAAAAAAGTTGGACACTGGCCTTAATCTCGAGGTGTTCTGAAGATTTTGCTTGGGGAAAAAGTAGTGGACTATTACTAGTGCTCCTGCCTAAGACTACAAGTAATGCAATGTAGTGGCCGGAACTCCCTCCAAGTGGTTTTCTGGCGTAGGGAGCTGGCTTTAAGGGCTTCTTAGGATTTGAAGTGATGACCAGAGAACATATTTTCTTTCTGGCGTGGGGACAGTGATGTTTGTTGTAGTGTGCTATTTGTACGCTGTTCGATATGCTTTTTATATTGTGTATGGTTAGCAATTCACTTAAATCAGGATTAGAAACGGGGAATCAATCTTTTGTAGTTTACTGCATTTTCTTTCTTTCTCCTCATCTCATGCCCCCTAACTTTCTTACTGCTTTTACAATGCCACTTTTTATCAGATCCAAGTGTGTGAAGGCTATTTTACTGTGTGCATATGACTTATCAAAGGCTATTTTACTGTGTGCATATGACTTATCAAAGATTATCCATCTTCAATCAAAGGCTAATGGTTCAATCCTTGACTTTGGACATAGAGCAGTTTTAAATATCTAGGCCAGACTAACTGTACACTCAAAAGATTAGCTTATAATCTAATAAGGGAATTAGTAACGGTGAAAATTTTGGATACCCAGAAAAAAAAATCTTATCAATAGTGCCAGACAAATTATAATCAACCAAGAAAAAATAGTTTCTATAACAAAAAATAGTTTCTATAACAGAAGCATAAAGCTAATTAAGTCTCTTGGAGAGCTGAGGATCGGACCAAACAACTTCATAATCATATTTCATAAGTCATGCCGACTCTCAAAAGCCGGTTTTGAGGAATCGCAAAAACTTTCTCTTCCTGCCTGAAATTCTTGCGCAGGAAACTGTAGAGGTAGTTAACCACAAACTTCTTGAAAAACCACGAATCCTGTTTCGCCTCCACCGCCGCTTCTCCCAACAGGTAGAACACGCCGCCGCCTTGCTCCGTCGCATGCTGCACAAACTGCACTTCTTCTTCCCAATCCGCCGGCGAAGCTTGTTCGGGAGCCACGAAATGCTCGTTCCTGATGAATTCCATGAGGTGACTCACCAGCTCCCCCTCGAACTCCTTGGACTCTCCCATTTTGTCATTGTAGCCATACCTGACCACGCAGCGAAACACGCGGTACTCCCTGGGTTCAAACTGCCGGAACAGAAACCGTTCCTCCGCCGCCACTTTACTAATGGGGAGATTCTTTATTGAAACCAAGACCACCACCGAGTGGAGCGACCGGATGTTGGAGACAAAGTGGGGGAAAATCGGCGGAATTCCTTGGACCAGCTCGGAGTATAGAAGCATGATTCCTGGCACTCTTTTCATGTCCGGATTCTGGGCTAAATCCCTCACGTACTCGCCTGAAACCTTATTCTTAAGCTCGAACGCGTAGCGTTCTTTGTACACGTAGTGCCATATCCCCATCACGATCATCAAAACCAAGGCCAATAGCAGCGGCAGGTACCCACCCTGCGTGAATTTGTACAAAGCCGCAGAAAGATAAAGGCCTTCAATGCCTATGAACACCAAGAAGAACAATGCGACCAACCAGATATTCGTCTTCCATATCACAAGCATTATCAGAGTCACCATGCAGGTGGTAATCACCATCACACTCATCACAGCAATCCCTTCATATATATGCATCAAAAAACCATTAATCATCACACAACATTATATATATATATATAATCAATCATATCGTACCATAAGCATGGCCGATCGCTGTTGAAGTATTGAAGACGAAAGTGACGACAACGCATAAGATCATGAGGATCCAATTCACCTCTGGGATGTAGACTTGACCTTCATACTTAGCAGAAGTGTGAATCACCTTCACTCTTGGGAAACACCCTAAGCTTAGAGATTGGGAGATGACCGCAAATGCTCCAGATATCAAAGCTTGACTAGCAATGATGGCAGCAAACACAGCCACAACAAACATCGGCCAATACAACCGATCTGCAACATGAAATTACACTAATTGTCATTATAGGCGACTTAAAATTAAGGTTTGGTTTGATTATTCAATTAACTTACCAGGGATTGAGTCATAAAACGTATTGGCAACATGGTCAGGGTACTTGGTGAGATATGCTGCTTGGCCACAATACGCAGTCAGCACGGCAGGAAAAACAACTCCCGAGAAACTAATCTGATACATATCATTTTAGAAATAATTGAAAACCCAATTTTTGTCTGAATTATAAATTATGGTTGCATTGTAATTACCTGAACAGCTCGAATATTAAAGTGGCCCAAATCAGCAAACATGGCTTCGGTCCCAGTGGTGCACAGAATAATCCCGCCAAGTGAAACCCACCCATCTTTACCATTTCTTCGGAAGTAGTCAACTATGTACTTGGGATTGAAAGCACGCAGAACCGTGATGTCGTGTTTGAATAGGTTGTATATACCGATCCCAGATATGAAAGAAAACCACAGACACAACACCGGCGCAAATGCATATCCAACTTTATCGGTCCCGAATCGTTGCACGCTGAAGAGCAGCACCAGTATCGCAATTGAAACCCCCATCACAGTGTCTGGATATATTGGATCACAAATCCCATTCAATATTATATATAATCCACTAATCACAAATATCATTATTAGTCTTTCGAATATAGTGATGAATTACCTTGACCGAGGGCTTTGATCCCGCTTACTGCAGAAAGAACTGCATGCAACAACATGTATGTACAAAATTAATTTTGGTTAACTAGCTTAGTAATGTATTATTGGGGGCGTAATCATTTTTTTTTTAATTTAATAATAAAAAGAAGGGAAAATAGCATATTTGTTAGCATCCATAAATCATTTTTTTTTTTTTAATAAAAGTTCGAAAATTTCTCCAATTTTCTAAAAAATGTAAGAATTCAACAACAAAAATAGAGAATGAAAACTGAAAAATTAAAAAACAAAAAAAAAAAAAAAAAAAAACAATTTTATGAAGAAAACCGGCCCCCGGTGTATTAGGGGATTTTGGATATTTGCTATTTAATTAAATTTAGACATCAAATTAATAACTTTCTCCCCAAAGGTCCCATGTCCGGACATGACAGAATATTTGGAAGAGATAAATTAGGGTAATTTAGCTGAACAAGAGGCTAGAAATCAAATTAATAAATTAAATATCAAATATATTGTTTTTGACATAAAGAAAATAAAATTCAATTCATAGCTAGCCCTACCTGAGATGCAAGGAGTGAGAACTCCATCTCCGATAAGCATTGAAGTTGCGAGGATAGTGACCAGAAACAACACAGTTTTGGCAGCCATACTCGACTCTAGCATCTGTTTTATCTTTTGCGCCCGTTTCAGTTGATTCGAAGGCGTCTCCAGCCGGTAATTTGACAGCTCTCTATCCTCCGGCTCCTGGTTCGGCCTCAAGCTCACCTTCGTATGCCGACACATCAGCGAATACAGCGCAAACGTCCCACCTGAACGTTATTACATCATATATATATATATATTGCTGATCCACCATACAGTAATATTATTAAATGTACAATTTTATTATCATTCGATGGATGAGGTATATATACCGTCGCCGTTGTCATTTGCCCACAAGACGATGCAGACGTACTTGACCAGAGGTACGAGGATTAGGGTGTAGATGATGAGGGACAGAACTCCGAGGATGTCGTTTTTGTTGCCGATCTTTGTGAACGTGCTGGAGTACACGTACAACGGGGAAGTCCCGATGTCGCCGTATATCACTCCGATGCACTGAAACGCCAAATGCAGTGTTCTCTGCCAGTTATCCTGCTCATTTTATCCAGAGATTCGACAAAATTTAGATGAAAATTAAGAAATAATTGTAATTATAATTAATCTCGATCAATCTCTAATAACATACCCTAGAGGAGGCATGGTGATGGCTGGGGGCGAAAGAAACTCTTCCTGCTTCCAAATTGAGGGAGTCAATATGACGCAACGAAGCTTTTCGATCTTTGAGTGTGGTAGTAATATTGTTTCCTGCGCCCAACGTCGTCTCATCGTCATCAACACTCGTCTCGTGGATTGTCGTGTCGGGCGCCATGTTTTCTCTGGTATCTACAGACCAAGCTACTACACTGCCGTTAAGGGTGATGATTGTTACGTTCCTTTTCAAAACCTAAACGTGTGTATATATACATATAAAATAGGGTCAATTCTCAAAATAAGAATAAAATATATGGTAGGAATACATTTTTGGAAAGATTTGATGTTTGGACATTAAAAGGAAAAAATTTATTGGATTACACTTTTTAACTTATTCTGCGTGTATGTACCGTGTAAAATTATTGATATCTACTAATCTACTAATTAATAATAACAACTGATAATGAAATGACAACCGACAGGAGTGGGGATGGGAAATTTTCACCCCGGAACCAGATGATGAAGTATCCGAGAGTGGTATAAATTTAGCCCCAACGTAACAAAAAGTGTTACAGTCAATGGGATAGTTGTTAGGGTCAAATACTGTCAAACATGCCTGCTATACTGCCCACCACGTTGCTCTCATTGTTCTATATGTAACAACTGTGTTGAACGCTTTGATCACCATTGCCCGGGCAAATTATGCCCTGGAAACGTGTTCACCTAGAATGGTGAACACAAGGTCAAACGACGTCGTTTTTAGGCAAAAAAAAAAAAAAAATCACGGATGTGGAGTTAACGGCGCGAGTTGATCAAATTATGATTTTTCTGTTATGAGATTATGAATTTTCATAAAATTCATAATCTCATAACAGAAAATTCATAATCGCATAACAGAAAATTCATAATCTCATAACAGAAAATTCATAATCTTATAACAGAAAATTCATAATCTCATGGTCCAAAGTGAATGTGTAGGCATGGTTCCAAAGTGAATGTGTAGGCATGGATTCATAATTTATAAATGCCTGTGATTTCGGACGGGAATGTGTAGGCATGGTTCCAAAGTGAATGTGCAGGCATGAATTCATAATTTATGAATGTTCGAAATCATTGTTCACCTCAAATTAAAGTGAAACCGCAAAATGTGAAAATGAAGAAGAAAAATCACGCAATTAATTAAGAAAAAAAAAAAAAAGATAACAGTGTACTAACACCGTTGGAACCATGTTCACCATTCATGGTGAACACGGTTCCATGGCATATCGCTCCCCATTGCCCGTGGGTGGGACAATGTATTGGAAATTAAAGGTAGGCATAAGCTTGCTATCCATTTGGAAGAAATAAAGAATGTCCTGCAGTAAGCTTGGTATAGTATGTAGTCCTCATAAATTAAGAACTTCATTCACGTACATACTCTCATTACTTTGTTCAATATCATTCATGTTTTCATCTAATGTGTTGTCAATAATGGCTGTTAGGCTTATAATCATGTATCCTTTGAGTATAAAATATCTAAAAACATAATAAGCCTCAGGTTATATACTTACTTTATGTCTCTTTTTTTGTATGCAAATAAATGTATACATTTTACTTTAAATGTTATACATTTCAATGTTATTAAACAAAACTAACCTTACACTGTTATATATAACACCGTTAGTATTTAATTCTAACATTATATTGATAACACATCATTATTATCATACACCTATATCAATCATATCTTTTCCTATTTTTTAATTATCATTTTATTAAAATTATTATATATTAATTTAATATTTAATTATATTTTAATTATCATATAATGTGTGAAATTTTACTATCAAGCTAGCTAACTTACCTTGACATGCATAAAAATAAATATATAGGAGCTGAGCCTAATATTAATTAATTGTTTCTTTAAAGAAAATGCATTAAAATTTTTTTGTATACCTACATACCAGATCGAATTGTAGCACAAAACAAAGTCTCGTAGAGATGGATCGAGCTGAGGATGGAACCAAATTAAACAACTTGGTAAGTCATATCGGCAACTAACACAACATCGATCATATTTGGTAAGTTATGCCGACTCTCAAAAGCCGATTTTGAGGAATCGCAAAAACTTTCTCCCCTCCCTGCCTGAAATTCTTGCGCAGGAAACTGTAGAGGTAGTTAACCACCAACTTCTTGAAAAACCACGAGTCCTGTTTCGCCTCCACCGCCGCTTCTCCCAGCAGGTAGAACACGCCGCCGCCTTGCTCCGTCGCACGCTGCACAAACTGCACTTCTTCTTCCCAATCCGCCGGCGAAGGTTTTTCGGGAGCCATGAAATGCTCGTCCCTGATAAATTCCATGAGGTGACTCACTAGCTCCCCCTCGAACTCCTTGGACTCTCCGATTTTGTCATTGTAGCCGTACCGGACCACGCAGCGGAACACGCGGTACTCCCTGGGTTCAAACTGCCGGAACAGAAACCGTTCCTCCGCCGCCACTTTACTAATGGGGAGATTCTTTATTGAAACCAACACCGAGTGAAGCGATCGGATGTTGGAGACAAAGTGGGGGAAAATCGGCGGAATTCCTTGGACTAGCTCGGAGTATAGAAGCATGATTTCTGGCACTCTTTTCATGTCCGGATTATTGGCTAAATCCCTCACGTACTCGCCTGAAACCTTATTCTTAAGCTCGAACGCGTAGCGTTCTTTGTACACGTAGTGCCATATCCCCATCACGATCATCAAAACCAAGGCCAATAGCAGCGGCAGGTACCCGCCCTGGGTGAATTTGTACAAAGCCGCCGAAAGATATAGGCCTTCAATGCCTATGAACACCAAGAAGAACAATGCGACCAACCAGATGTTTGTCTTCCATATCACAAGCATTATCAGAGTCACCATGAAGGTGGTGATCACCATCACACTCATCACAGCAATCCCTGCATATATATATATATGCATCAACAAACCATTCAACATCACAGAGAAATTATAGAATTTCCGACCACCTGAAAGTGATCTTAAATTATACACTTCAGGTGATCAGAAATTTCATAATTTCCAGTAGTGATATATATAAAAAATGTGGAGTCTGGCTATCTACAATCATATCGTACCATAAGCATGGCCGATCTGTGTTGTAGTTTTGAAGATGTAAGTGACGACAACGCATAAGATCATGAGGATCCAATTGATCTCTGGGATATAGACTTGACCTTCATACTTAGCAGAAGTGTGAATCACCTTCACTCTTGGGAAACACCCTAAGCTTAGAGATTGGGAGATGACCGCAAATGCTCCAGATATCAAAGCTTGACTGGCAATAATAGCAGCCAACACAGCCACAACAAACATCGGCCAATACAGCGGATCTGCAACATTAAAACTTATTCTTACTATTATATATAGGTGATTGAATTGAATTGAATAATATATAGATTAATACTAAGGTTTAATTATTCAACTTACCAGGGATTGATTCATAAAATGTATTGGCGACGTGATCAGGATACTTGGTGAGATATGCTGCTTGGCCACAATACGCAGTCAGCACGGCAGGAAAAACAACTCCCGAGAAACTAATCTGATACATATCATTTTAGAAATAATTGAAAATCCAATTTTTTTCTATTCAATCTTGAATTTTAAATTATGGTTGCATTGTAATTACCTGAACAGCTCGAATATTAAAGTGGCCCAAATCAGCAAACATGGCTTCGGTCCCAGTGATGCATAGAACAATTCCGCCAAGTGAAACCCACCCTTCTTTACCATTTCTGCTGAAGTAGTCAACTATGTACATGGGATTGAAAGCACACAGAACCATGATGTCGTGCTTAAAAAGGTTGTACAGACCAATCCCACTTATGAAGGAAAACCACAGACACAAGGCTGGCGCAAACGCATATCCCACTTTATCTGTTCCAAATCGCTGCACGCTAAAGAGCAGCACCAATATCGCAATAGAAACCCACATCACAGTATCTATATCACAAATAACCCCATTCACTATTATATATAATAATCCATGGGTATGAAGTGAACTAATATCATTTTTAGTCTTTCGAGTATAGTAATGAATTACCTTCACCGAGGGCTTTGATCCCACTCACTGCAGAAAGAACTGCATACAACAACATGTATATACAAAATTAATTTTGATTAACTAGCTTAATTAGTAATAGTTGGATTGCACATTAATGGCTATATGCTAACACGTGGACCGTAGTCGCTTATAGATGACGTTAAGATTCAAATTGAAGCATGTGCTCCATAGTTGAATTGCACGTTAATGGCTATATGCTCGACAATACCTGAGATGCAAGGAGTGAGAATTCCATCTCCGATAAGCATTGAAGTTGCGAGGATAGTGACCAGAAACAACACAGTTTTGGCAGCCATACTCGACTCTAGCTTCTGCTTTATCTTCTGCGCCCGTCTCAGATGATTCGTTGGCGTCTCCAGCCTGTAGTTTGACAGCTCTCTATCCTCCGGCTCCTCGTTCGGCCGCAAGCTCACCTTCGTATGCCGACACATCACCGAATACAGCGCAAACGTTCCACCGTCGCCGTTGTCATTTGCCCACAAGACAATGAAGACGTACTTGAGCATTGGTACGAGGATTATAGTGTAGATGATGAGGGACAGAACTCCGAGGATGTCGTTTTTGTTGTCAATCTTTCTGAACGTGCTGGAGTACACGTACAATGGGGAAGTCCCGATGTCCCCGTATATCACTCCGATGCACTGAAACGCCAAATGCAGCGTTTTCTGCCAGTTATCCTGCCCATTGAGATCGAGATTAAAAATTACATAAAATTAATATTATAAATTAATAATAATATACAGTACAATAATAACTTTTTAGTATTGATTTGAAACTAATCTGGATCTCGATCTCTATATCTGCAGCTTACCCAAAAAGGAGCATGGTGATGGGCGGGAGCGAAAGAAACTCTCCCAGCCTCCAAATTCAGGGAGTCAACACGATGCAGTTTTGGCCACGAAGCCGTAGAAATATTGTTTTCCACGTCAGCCGTCTCATCCTCGTCAACAATTGTGTCGTCATCATCATATATACGCCCATGGACTGTTGTCGTGTCGTCCGCCATGTTTCTCCAGTATCTACTCACCAAGCTAAGCTATACTACGTTGCGCTCTAGTACAATGATTGTTCTGTTCCTTTTCGATCACAACCTATAATCTCTCTCTCTATATATATAATATATGTGAAATTACCTTGTAGATGAGATCATGGAATTAATTTTTGGTAAGGATTGAATTTAATGAATTAGGAAATATTTAACTAAGTATTTTTTTGAAAACAACATTAAATATTTAATTCCAAAAACTAATAGATCGAAGTAATTTCCACTTTTGAATTGAGATATATATATACTAGTTTTTTTAAACGCTTTGCGCGAATGAGATAGTGTCTCATGATTATTTTTAAATAAGTATTTCAAAGTATATCAATGCAATATTATATAGGAGATGTTTATGCATAGGTAAATAAATGTTGAATTTGTTTATTTAAATCGGTAATTTAAAGTATATAAATTCAAGACAATATATGAGATATTGATTATAATTGTCACTAAAATAAATGTTTGCAACTTTGTAATAACGCTAGTCTAAATACTTAGTCTTAAAGCGATAGTCTAAATAAATACTACTTTCGATTTTAATTTCTCTAATTTTTCTTAATTTTCATTTGGATAGCATTGTCATTGTTTTATCTTCAGTACATGTCCTCTCGTTTTTAATTTTTTTATTGGATATATTTTTTAAAAATATATATAATCTTTATTACTCTTAAGGTAAATAAGAAATAAATTAGTACTACAGATTGTATTTATAGATTATATACTTTGTGTTTTACTTATTGTACATCCTACATTTATTTTCAAATGTGTCCCTTTACCGCGTTTAAAATTATTCAATTCTTGATTATCAATTTAATGTAATACTTTTTTTTTTTTGTGACTAGAATGATTTTTTTGACCTAATGAAACACAAAGAGTCAATATCGCCTCCACTCAGGCTCAAACCCATCCAATCTTGGTGTCATTAGACCACAAGGTTTTGGCTACTAGAATGATTTTTAACTTAATGCAATATTTTTTTCTTTTTATGCCAATGGTAAAATGGCTATCAATTGATTGTACTAATTCTTTTTTTGACATTTACATATATTGATGATTTTTAATGAAAAAATATTTTGCATAATTGTAGTTATTATATGCCTGATTTGTATACACTTTTTCTATTAATTTTTTTCTATACATTATGCTACAAGTATTCTACTATACAAGTTTTTAATTTAGAAAAAATTCTTACTATTATAAGTTCTGTTAACTTTATCCATTAATCTTACCATGCATATGCATATACAATATATTCTTATATTTTTCAATGGTAATAATGTATGTAAACATTATGGCCTTGTTTGGCAATCAAAGGTTAGCGATTAGCGGATAGCGGATATCGGATTGTGATAACGGGTTTGACTAGCAGATTGTATCAACGGTTTGTAAAAAGATATTTGGTAACATTAGATGTTTAATGTTACATTAATGGTTAACATGTAAAATGACTCAAAAAGATATTTGGAGAAAACCGCTGGTTAACCAAACATGGTCTTTGGCATTTTGACCATGGTCAAAATGCCGAAGGTAGTGGTGGATCTGCCATATCCAAACATGGTCTATATATTGGAGTAATATAAGAAATAAGTTTGATTTTCTTTAGATTTTAATTAAATGTTACTATAATTATATTTAGTAATTTATCATACCTAAAATTTTCCTTTAAAAAAAAAATCATACTTAAAATTTTAACTTTGACAATATCAATCATACCATAATTATTACTCAAAATTGTGTTGCTTTCATATTAACTTAGTCCGTTCACAAAATTTGTTAGCATATAAGCATATTCAAGTGCTAGTAGCAAGCTCATATATGATGTTATAATTTGTGGTATTCCAATAAAGCTGATGGATAGGAAAAATAGGTAAAACTGATGGATTTAATTAATCAGGATAGACCGAATTAATAAATTGAATAAATTAAGGATAATGTAAATGGATAGGAAAAATAGGTAAAATGGGTGTTGTAGGGTCACAGAGACCAAATGTTGTATTAGACAATGATTCCAAATGTTGTATTAGACAATGATTGTGAAGCTATTACAATGGCAAAGTAATGCTATTAGACAAGTAAATTAGGACAAGATAGCAAGTGATTATGGATATGATGTCGTAAAGGGACAAAATAGATTCTTTTTATACCCAAATGAGACCCATAACTGCCCACCTAAAGAGGAGGGGAGAGTTACAACGGCCTCTGACCGTGTTCGGGTGGGTCGATCGAGGGCTCACCTGAAGGGTCGACACCGAGACGATCCGGGTCAAGCGCGGGGCTTAACCCCGAGGCCCTGAGTCTTCTACGCTCCGTTTTTTCTGAGTCAGTTTGCTCCATTCCCAATATGTTCATCAATAATATTTTAGTGTTGATTTGAGCATTATAATTAATCTCGATAAGATCTCTATCAGATCACCCTAGAGGAGGCACGGTGATGACTTGGGGGGGGGGGGGGGGGGGAAGGCATGGTGAGTAAAATTTTGAAAAGATTTTTATGTTTGGACAAGAAAAGGAAAATTTTCACTTGATTATCCTTTTAAACTATTCTGCGTGTATATACCGTGTAAAATTGTTGATATATACTAATTAATAATATATAATAAATATAATTACAACTAATAATGGGATGGCAACTGGACGGGACGAGGCGGGGAGTATTATTATGAACTACTTTTATTATTTTGTAGGGATATATATAGGCCATTATACTTAAAATTTCAAATCCAATCAAACAATAGACTCATCAATTTTTCCAGTAATTTTATTTTCACCATCCAAACAATGAAATCATCTTTCTAATAATTGATTTCCTATGGAATTTCAATTCTATTTCCTCTAAAATATTTTTCGCAAATCAAATGGATTGTAAAAACCTTTGGCCATTTAAAATATGGTTTAACCCACTTTTCATCTAAATCGACCCTATTCAAGTCTAATGAATTTAACCAGTGTTTTTTTGGATTTCACCCAAATTTTGCCTACTCGTTATGTTGTTGTATATGCGTTGAACGCTTTGATCGCCATTGCCCGTGGGTGGGACAATATAATGTATTGGAAAGGTAGGCGTAAGCTTGCTATTAGTCTGGAAGAATGGCCAATAAGCATGCATGCATGGTTTCTATTCATATCGGACCATGGGAAAATGCAATTGGATTAATTAAAATATCATATGTATTTCCATTCATTTTATCATAGGTTCATAATGTTATTTGTATATGTTAATAAAAATAAAGCTTAATGTATATAAATATTACACTAAAGTAATGATTTTATGTACTTATAAATTTATTTAAAAAATAAAAATATATCAATATGGATGTCATTCAAAAGATCTTAATTAGATGGAAGATGTGGTCATAATATTCATTGGGACTTGGGCAGAGTATTCTTTCAATCATTCTTCCATGGATCATGGTTTCACACATTTGTTTGAACTATAAATAAAAAGTAAATTACTTGAAAATACATTATTTTTATATATTATTAAATAATGTACATTCAGTACACAAATAATATACTTTTAATATATTAAAAATGTATATCCTATTCGTAGTTCACAAGTTTACGTGAATCATGATCACACAATAAATTACCGTATTCTTTGGGCTCATCTTGGATCGTTATGCTGTGCATCCGTGTGCACCATGCATGGTGCATACGGATGCAAAAACAACGTCGTTTTGATTAAAAACGCGTGTTCCACTTAAAAAAAAAAAAATCAGTTTCGATTCTCCTCAACAGCATTATGTTGTTCATTGATTCTGGATATTTAGACGGAAATCGAAACTGATTTTTTTTTTCATTCATACTGGATATTTAGTACATTCATTATAGATATTTAGTTCATTCATTATGAATTTTTAGTTCATTCATTCTGAATTTTTAGTTCATTAATTCTGGATTTTTAGTTCATTGAGCCGGGAGTCGAAATTAATTTTTTTTAAGTGGACGCGCGTTCATGCATGGTGTACACGGATGCACGGCATAATTTGCCGCTCATCTTGTGTTTGTGGATTTTGATTTATGGGTTTTACTTGAATGAGCTCTCAGTAGACAGAATTGGGTATTTGATTTAATTTGTGTATGGCGGTTTAGGCGTGAGCCCATAGTTTATATTTTAGGGTTTTTTGGGCTTGAGAAGGATGGGCCTTAACAATATTGACTTCTAGTGGGCTGCAGTTTCATTTGGTCTTTATTTGCTTTTGGTTTTGATTTTAAATTTGAAATGCTTCGTGCTTTAGGCCTTGGGCCAATTTTTAATACTAGCATGGGTCTTTTTTGTATTATCTGGGGTATGCCCTCCTAGTGGATTTGTACAAATGTTTGTTCGGCTTTAATAAATTTACATTCACCCAAAAAAAAAAAAAAACTCTGTTGTGCCTTTCGCTTACTGTTGTGTAAACATTAGACTGATAATGAAATCAATCGAGATTGGTATTAGTTGGAGTTTTGGATAGTATTGTATAATTGATTTGGAAGTGCAAAGTACCTAATAAAACCTTGCTCTCCTCACTCTAGACGCCTAATAATTATGACTCATCAATTCATCATACATTTGTAATAATGTTCTAATATGCTTGTGTCCAATAAATAAGTACTTTATAGGACCAAAATAGAGGGTTGATACTATATTTAAAATTTAATTTAATACATTACTCTTGGAACCCCAAGCTACTGAGAACTTCTATCTTTCAATTTTGTTGAGGATTATAGCACTTGATTTTACACCAACAATTGTGTAGCCATTTTGAGTGCAAATTATATAAAGTAATACATGTATTTTTTTATTTTTTTGAGAGTAAAGCAATACATGTATAATTTTACTCTCAAATTAGGATTTTTTTAAAATAAAAAAAAAAATAAAAATTTACTGAAAATAATTACACTAAACATTGAAATACCCCACATAATAAATATATACGAGTATAATATTGTTCCATTAAAGCGAATGCACCAAAACTAAACTGGTACCAGACAATCTAATCAGATTGTCATACAGTATGCCGGCTACTTAATGGTTCAAAGATCGATCGTTTATACGCAGACTATGTGATCAGTGAGTGCAAGACATTACGACGACACTTTGAAATATTGTCTTTTAAATTTGTCCCAAGACCAGTGAATCACTGTGCTCATGCTTTGGCTAAAGCTACTCGTTCTCAAACTAGTCCAATTAGTTAGATTTTGAATATTCCTAATTGTATTGCGCATTTGATTTAATAAAGTATTGCTTTTGGTTTTCAAAAAAAATCTAATCAACTAAGAAAACAGTGTTTCTATGACAGCCATTCTAATCAACTAAGAAAACAGAGTTTCTATGACAGAAGCACAAGGCAACGTCTCTTGGAGGGTTGAGGACCAAACAACTGCAAACAGAGTATAACACTGTTCCATTAAAGCAAATGCATCAAAACTACATAAACTGGTACCAGACAATCTAATCAACTAAGAAAACAGTGTTTCTATGACAGACATTCTAATCAACTAAGAAAAGAGAGTTTCTATGACAGAAGTACAAAGCAAAGTCTCCTGGAGGGATGAGGACCAAACAACTTCATCAGCAACACAGCATCATATTTCGTAGGTCATGCCTACTCTCAAATGTCGATCCTGAGGAACTGCAAAAACATTCTCCTCCTGCCTGAAATTCTTGCGCAGGAAACTGTAGACATAGTTAACCACGACCTTCTTGAAAAAACAAGAGTCATGTTTTGCCCGCACTGTTGCTTCTCCCAACAGGTAGAACACGCCGCCCTGCTCCTTCGCACGCTGCACAAACTGCGCGTCTTCTTCCCAACCCGTGACTGCCTCGTGGGTCCGGGTGGAGGAAACTGTATGAATTGAGGCCGAGGATAAACGAGCTGACGTGTTTTGTAGACTTTCATCGACCTGTTCGGTAGACAAGGTCAATTCCCTGTGCGGCAAAGGTTGTTCCAACGGGCTGCCAGTGATGAAATGCTCTTGCCGGATGAAATCCATGAGGTGATCCACCAGCTGCCCCTCGAACTCCGTTGGCTCCCCGATTTTGTCATTGTAGCCATAGCGAACCACGCAGCGGAAAATGCGGTACTCCCTGGGCCCAACCTGCCTGAACAGGAACCGTTCCTCTGGCACCAATTTACTGACGGGGAGATACTTTATCGAAACCAGGACAACGACAGAGTGGAGTGATCGTACGTTGGAGACATAGTGCGGGAAAATCAGCGGAATTCCTTCAACCAGCTCCGAGTACAGAAGCATGATTCCTGGCACTCTTTTCACATCGGGATTCTGGGCTAAATCTGTCACGTACTCGCTGGAAACCTTGTTACGCTCGAACAAGTAGCGTTCCTTGTACACGTAGTGCCATACCAGCATGATGAGCATCAAAACCAAGGCAAACAGCAACGGGAGGTATCCACCCTGCGTGAATTTGTACAGAACAGCCGAAACATATATGCCTTCAATGGTGATGAAGGCCCCGAAAAACAATGCAACCAGCCAGATGTTTGTCTTCCATATCACCAGCATTATTAGACTCACCATGCAGGTGGTGATCATCATCACATTCATCACAGCAATCCCTGCATGGCATGGCATGGCATGGCAGAACATAATAAATGAGCAAAACATAATATATATATAAAGTAAATGTGCAGTCTCACTATTTACAATCATACCATAAGCATTGTTGATCTGTGTTGTAGTTTTGAAGCTGTAAGTGACGACGACGCACAAGGTCATGAGGATCCAATTGACCTCTGGAATGTAGACTTGACCTTCATACTTACTAGAAGTGTGAATCACCTTCACTCTTGGGAAACACCCTAAGCTTAGAGATTGTGAGATGATGGCAAATGCTCCAGATATCAAAGCTTGGCTGGCTATGATGGCAGCCACCACAGCAATAGCAAACATCGGCCAGTACAGCGGATCTGCAACATGAAAACTCGATGTCATTATAGGTGACTTACAGTTAACTGAATTCACATATTTATAAGGTTTAATTATTCAACTTACCAGGGATTGAGTCATAAAATGTATTGGCGACGTGGTCAGGGTACTTGGTGAGGTATGCAGCTTGGCCACAATATGCAGTCAGCACTGCAGGAAGAACCACTCCCGAGAAACTAATCTGATAACATTTTAGAAATTGAAAACCCAAATGAATTTAAATATCTAAATTTTTTTAATAACAAATTAAAACAAGGTTTTTAGAGGTATTTTAATTGTAATTACCTGAACAGCTCGAACATTAAAGTGGCCCAAGTCAGCAAACATGGCTTCCGTCCCAGTAATGCACAGGACAATTCCGCCAAGTGAAACCCACCCATCTTTACCATTTCTGCGGAAGTAGTCAACTATATACTTGGGATTGAAAGCACGCAAGACCGTGATGTCATGCTTGAAAAGATTGTACAGACCTATCCCAGTTATGAACGAAAACCACAGACACAACGCCGGCGCAAATGCATATCCCACTTTATCTGTCCCAAATTGCTGCACACTAAAGAGCAGCACCAGTATTGCAATTGAAATCCACATCACAGCACCTACATCACAAATCCCATCGACCATTATAATTCATGTTAATGTCATTTTTAGTCTTTCAAGTATAGTTAATACAATACAGATTTGGTAGTGGTCGATTACCTTCACCAAGGCTTTTGACCCCACTCACAGCAGAAAGAACTGCAGAAGGAACATGTAGCAAATTATTTTTTGTTAACTGGTTATATATATATATAATAAAAATACATTAAACAAAATATATATACATAAGTGTGTAAAATTATAGACCATATTGCGCATGAGTATATACACATATAAATATAATTAATTAAGTGCTATCCCATAATATACTTTATTTTTGTTCAAATATAGTTGGATATTATAACTTTTTTTCTTAAATTATGCAAAATATGCTATTTTCCCATAAAGAAAATAAAATTCATAGCTTGTTGGGTACCTGAGACGCAAGGAGTGAGAACTCCATCGCCGATAACCATGGAAGTTGCGAGGATGGTGATTATGAACAACACAGTTTTGGCAACCATACTCGACTCCAGCTTCTGCTTTATCTTCTGCGCCCGTCTCAGCTGATTCGATGGCGTCTCCAGCCGGTAGTTCGACAGCTCTCTATCCTCCGGCTCCTCGTTCGGCCTCAAGCTCACCTTCGTATGCCGACACATCAGCGAATACAGCGCAAACGTTCCACCTGAAAGTTATTATTGTTTAGCATATAGTATGTAAATAATGGTTTGTAACAATATAATACAATGCATTAAGAATCTTTCATAAAGTAGAGGTATACCATCGCCGTTGTCATTTGCCCACAAGATGATGCAGACATACTTGAGCAGAGGTACGAGGATTATGGTGTAGATGACGAGGGACAGAACCCCAAGGATGTCATTTATGTTGTCGATTTTTGTAAACGTGCTGCTGTAAACATACAACGGGGAAGTCCCGATGTCGCCGAATATCACCCCGATGCACTGAAATGCTAAATGCAGCGTTCTCTGCCAGTTATCCTACCAAGAAAGTGTCAAGTTGAAAAATTAGATACAACTTTATATTATTGAATTTTTTGTCAAGTAAAAAACTCGCAGCCCTAAAACCCTAATCTGTGATCCTTTATGATTCACCCCAATCTGTGTATAATGATCTCTATGAAGTCATCTACTTACCCTAGAGGAAGCACGGTGATGGCTGGGAGCGAAAGAAACTCTTCCAGCTTCCAACCTCAGAGAGTCAACACGACGCAGTTTCGACCAGGAAACCTTTCTACCTGTGAGTCTGGTAGTGGTATTGTTTCCTGCTGCCAATGTCTCGTCATCATCAACACTTATCTCATGATGATCATCTGTATAGCCATGCATTGTCGTTTCATCAGCCAAGTTTTTTTCAAAATAAGTAGGAGTTATACAGACTACTGAAATGCACAGGAGAGGGCTGAGAGAAAGAGAGAGAGAGAGATATGCACAGGAGAGGGCTGAGAGAAAGAGAATGAGATATGCACAGGAGAGGGCGGAGAGAAAGAGAGTGAGACATTGAGATGGGGAGTTCTACTGTTACTCTAATAATAATAAAAATAATAATAATAATAATAATAATAATACTAAAACTAATAATAGTAATACTAAAACCTTTCTACCTGTGAGTCTGGTAGTGGTATTGTTTCCTGCTGCCAATGTCTCGCCGTCATCAACACTTGTCTCATGATGATCATCTGTATGGCCACGCATTGTCGTTTCATCAGCCATGTTTTTTCAAAATAAGTAGGAATTATACAGACTACTGAAATGCACAGGAGAGGGCTGAGAGGAAGAGAGAGTGAGATATGCACAGGAGAGGGCTGAGAGAAAGAGGAGTGAGATAATGCACAGGAGAGGGCTGAGAGAAAGAGAGAGTGAGATATGCACAGGAGAGGGCTGAGAGAAAGAGAGCGAGATATGCACAGGAGAGGGCTGAGAGAAAGAAAGAGTGAGATATTGAGATGGGGAGTTCTATTGTTACTCTAATAAAAAAAAAAAAAAAATAATAATAATAATAATACTAATACTAAAACTAATAATAGTAATAGTAACAATAGTGGTAGTAGTAGCAATAATAGTAAAAGGAATAATACCTATACCCATGTTTTCTCAAAATAAGTAGGAATTATACAGAGTACTGAAATGCACAGGAGAGGGCTGAGTAGTAGTAAATAGTAAAAGGAATAATATAGCCAAGTTTTTTTCAAAATAATAGTAAAAGGAATAATACTAACTATAGTAATAATAAAAATTATTGGGGTAGTAATAAATTAATAATAGTAATAAGAATACAAATAATTGATTAACATTACCATTGTTAGATTATATTTGACAATACAAATAAAACTAAATTTTATAAATTAAATATTTACTAAAAATTATATTAAACAGTAACTAAAGGTAAGATTATGCATTCCTAATGGACAAATATACAAAGTGAAACAGTCTACCCACACTCAGATTGAATTTAGGGTCTAGAAAGACCCTAACAATTAGGATGTCCCTCATTTAGTGTATGGACCATAAGGAATGCAACCAGATACAAATCTGTGTTCCCATGCATAAACAACTAAGGAACTCCTAAATCAATTAACAAATACCAAGACTATTCATATTAGGCAAATGTCCATAATCGAGCTAAAGATCCATTGCTAATGACATAACCCTAAACTGCCAGAAAACTCACACCAAAATGACAGGATCAAAATGACAAAATAACAACTTTTAACTAAAACATGGAAGCACAACACTGTTGTAAGGCAAAATACAAAGTTCAGATATACAGGGGCATTAAGAAATAAGGTTCAGTTTGGTACAACATAATGCAAAATCCAAAGGCAACTAAAGCATAAACAATATTGGCTTTTGGGAAGAGTTGCAGTGCCAAGTGTCTTAAACATAGATATACATCAAAAAACATATAATGAAAATCCCATACCTGAATTAAGAGGCAGTTACAAGTGTCTCTACCACAAATGCTGCATAGGGAAATGGAGTTCAGCAACTCCACCTTTTAGTCTTCCAACACCCAAAATATTAGCCTGCATATAATAGTATTAAATAAGGGTATCATATTGGGATCAACAGGTATTCAAGTCAATAATTTGAAATTTAAAAACTGTTGTGATTCCTCAGCACAGAAACTACCTCTCTCTCTCTCTCTCTCTCTCTCTCTCTCTCTCTATATATATATATATATATATATATATATATATATATATATATATATATATATAGTTATATTTAATAAAGTACTCAGGACTTTGAAGATGCATTCATGTTGGAGTTCTAGAAATTGGGTATTTGCTTTTAGTGGATTGAAAAAAATTTATATCCAGAACTGGATATCATCAATTCATCACATGCCAAAACCTTAATTTTAAATGTTAGTAAGCAAACACATGTCAACCTTAGGTTTGAAACATAACAAATTACATATTAATATTTGGAAGAAAAAAAAAAAAAAAAAAACTCATATGAACTGATATGTTCAATTAGACAGTCTGGTGGACTATAAGACAAAGTGATAGATTTTTCTAGTTTAAAAAGTCTTTTCAAATTATTTTTGTTTGTATGCAATTTGGATCAGATTGTCAGGCATTGGTGGTTTTCGTTTCAGTATGCAAAGAACTAATGATTTGCATGGATTAGCATTTCAGCATTTTACTTTAACCAATATTAAAGTTCAAATTTATATTATCTATGCAGAGCTGGAACGTCCCCATCTTAGAGAGTTAGAGGTCACATCAGTATATAATTATATATGTTCAATATATATTCTATCTTATATTTATTTTTCTTACTACCACAAACTCAGGTAAAGTTCAATCAAAAAAGAAAGTCAGCTAAAATTCAACTCAGAAAGCAAATGAGGAAATTAAAAGGATCAACCATCATTGCAGGCAAGAAGAAGCAACAAACACCTAACAAAGGTAAAGTGTCACATTACCTTCAACTGAGTTAGATTAATGAAACTTATAGTGCTGATATACTTCATATCTCTTTTCTCCTTGCTTGGATATGATTTATACACCAAAAATAAAACCCACATACCTGCAAAGAGAATAATATATGTCAGATGTAATGTTATCTACCATTCCAATTTCAATAAATGTATGATCCTATCATGTAGGAGATGCTTTCGTTTTGGTGTTTCTTTATGATATTGTTTTGATGGAGTAAGGTCCCTTTTCTCATAAAATCAAAAAATAAATAAATAAATAATTGAAGTGTTCAATTAATCAAAACATATGCAAATATTAGTGTTCAATTTAACAAATTCTATGTTTACACTAAAAGCATACGTATTTTTAAACTACACAAAAAGAAAATGAAAACTTAAATTATATGATTGATACTGCATAGCCAGCCTTATACTATTGATTAACATTACCCTTGTTAGATTTTAGACCGAGCATCACACTGGTGAGATACTACTAATAATAATAATAATGATACTAACAATGAATAATTGAGTATGATGCCTTGTCAATCAGACGATTAGATCTGTTAATTCTACACTCTGAAAAAGTATTTGAAGAATCATATCTGCAATGAATTATTTTAAAGTATTGGAAAGTGGAAATACAAAATGACAAGCTTAATTTGTTGTATAGGCAACCAAACATTAGATAAAATAATAATTAAAAATTCATCTACTCATGCACCTTCCTCCAATAGGATTTCCAAATGACGGAAAAGCGTGCCTGAAGAGAATGATGATCCCAGTATATCATTTGATATACGTATACTCTGCTGCTCCATGGCTTCATGAATCAGGAAAAAGTTTAGGAAGATAAACTAATCATCAAGTAAGAAAAACTAGAAAAGGGTGTGGCATTTCAAACCTGTGCCCCACCCCCATTCAAGTGTCCACTCACGAGTGACTGGGTCCTTGTGCACTGCTTTTGCAAGCCCCACTGAAGATGCTCCTTTTCCAGTGGTATAAACAGCTTGCTGCCTTGTTTCCTCAACATACCTTTAAAAGATGTTTCTATTGTTAAATTACCAGTCATTGTCGATACTCAACAAATAAGTCATTTTGAAAATTCTTACTGAAATTTTGACTTGGTTGTCCCTAGATCACCTTAGAGAAGTACAGTAATGTCTCCTCACAGCCAATGTTCCCCTTCAACATTTTTATCTTGGCCCCCAAAACGTCTCATGACCTAACATTAATGGGGCAATGGATTTAACAATATGAATTCCAGTACAAGTTTTTAAAAGTATAGCAAGAGAAATTAGTACTCTAACTCCTGCATCAGATGGAACAACTTGCCAATAGATAATACAGAGTAAACTTGATTGAAAAAGGGGGAAAGCAGCATACCCTCTCTCCAATTCTTGGATCTTTTGCCAACTCCTCTATTTCTTCTTTGTCCTCTTGAGTTAATTTGTAAACTGAAAAGAGATCATGTTTCTTTGTGACATAATTTGCTTCAATAACAGTGGCAAACACAGGAAATCCATTCTAGTATTCAAATACAAGTCAAAATTGTTTGTATATATCCCTGTGACTTCCTGAAAATCAAGAGATAGGAAAAGGCCTGCAAATCAGAACAAACAATTTGAGAAACAAACAGGACAATCTGGGAAACTGTTAACATATTTAAGAAACTCAGCAAGCTAACCTTACCATCATGATGGTATTATATTGGAGATAGTTCAGTTATTTAAACAACTTCGTAGGTTACCTGAGCATCTAGCTGTATTTGTCTAGAAGTTCAAATAATTCAGTTTTAGGATTAATTTAGCTACACGGCACACGCATTCAAAGCACATATAGAGCAGAGCACATCAGAATGACAATTAACCATTAAAAAAGCTAACACAAAGAGGATACCACAAACATGTGCTTCTAGTGAACTTTCATATAACAAGTTAACAACTCTGTTAATATGCATCGGCACAGAAGATCTAGAAGTTCAAATAATTCAGTTTTAGGATTACTTTAGCTACACAGATTTAAAGCACATATAGAATAGAGCACAGCAGAATGACAATTAAACATTAGAAAAGCTAACACCAAGAAGATACAACAAACATGTACTTCTAGTGAACTTTCATGTAAAAAGTTAACTACTCTGTTAAAATGCATATGTAAAAGTTCAAATAATTCAGTTTTAGGATTACTTTAGCTACACACATTCAAAGCACATATGGAATAGAGCCCCGTAAAATAACAATTAAAAAAGCTAACAAAAGTTACCACAAACATGTGCTTCTAGTGAACTTTCTGTTAACCTGCAAAGACACCTAGAGACAATAAAAAGAATAAACATCATGGGGATAATTTTCCCCAAAAATGTTAAAACTAAATTTTTCTGGAAAAAATTATTCAAAAATCTTCGAAAATAATACAAAATGGAAAATTTTCCAAAAACTTTAAAATTTTGAATTTTCTGGAAAAAAATCGTAAAAGAAAAACACAAATAAAGTAAAATGTTATATATTTTCATGGCTAGAGGCTTTGCGGCTTTGATGGCAGCCTTTGAGAAGCGAACCGACGGACGGCGGTGACTGAAGAAATCAAGAATGTTGAAGCCTAGAAGGAGATCTAGGATTTCCTGAGTATAGAGTTGAAGGGAATGAGTGATTGAGAGGTTCTGAAACTCTGAAAGAAAGAGATCAGAGGGGACTCTCAAGCGAGAGGGTTTGAGAATGAGCAGCGATTAGGCGAAGGAGGAGTCACGGAGAGGCTGAGAGACAGTGCGGGGGTGAGAGGCAGAGAGGGGGCTCAGTCACATGGAGAAGGCTTGGGCATTTTGAGTTTTGGTTTGTTTTTTTTGGGCAAAACCAATCAATCAGAACAAGAAGTGAAAAAGGATAATTCTGAGAGAAATCTCATGATTTAGTGCTTCACCTGATTCTAATTTGAATCTAAGAAAACAGAAAAACTATTCCAGGGATAGCAAACTTTAAAAACTGTATGTATAGCCAAAACTAAATAGAGATGGTAGTTAAATTCAAAAACTAAAGCACCTGATAAGATGTAAACCAGTATACCCAAAAAACACTCTTAAACGATGCTAAAAAAAATAGATTTTCAATTCCATTGTTTTAATTTTTGGAAGTTAAAACTGTACAGCTATGAAGTCTCAGATACATTGTAATAAGATGCAATTTTTTTTAAATAACCCCTTTTCAGTTAAAAAGTTAACATCAAGCACCAATTTGTAGAATGAGACTTGTGATCAATGTTGAAGATCAAACAGCAAGCTCCAGATGGATCACAATGAGTGTAATCAATTAACACTTAAAATAAGATTTGAGCCATGTTCTAACCATGACATTCTTCCTATATTCTAAAGGAAGGAAAATAAAAGGCACAAGTCACAGACCTGTTGTGACATGGGAAGTGAAATATATGTGCAGGAATACAGCATAGGTAGTCTTGAAATCCTTTAATAACACTGCATTATAAATAAAAGAACCACTTAAAAAGAGTGAACTGTTTTGATGATTTACTAAAAATTATATTACACAGTAACTAAAGGTAAGATTATGCATTCCTAATGGACAAACATACAAAGTGAAACAGTCTACCCACACTCAGATTGAATTTAGGGTCTAGAAAGACCCTAACAATTAGGTTGTCCCTCATTTAGTGTATGGACCATAAGGAATGCAACCAGATACAAATCGGTGTTCCCATGCATAAACAACTAAGGAACTCCTAAATCAAATTTAAGAATTTAAGACATGCGATCTGGGGATTTTAGATGCCTAAAAGTAGTTAGCACAATAACATACAAGGAATTTATAGTTTGATTGAAACTGTAAGGAATTGAAAAATAGGATAGCGGTAGACAAAAAAAAAACATATTACAGGCTATGGATATTGCTATCACTATTCTAGATTCAAAATCCCAGTGAATCTGAGATGCGAAAACCCAATAGTATGAAAAAATGAATAGTAATGCTTATCCGTAAATTCATTCTAAGAAACAGTAAATGGAACTGAATCAAAATGGACTAGGGCAAATAAATTTACGAATTTGTCACGCAGAACAGCTTCCTCTGAGTTTAGATCGTGAATCGTTAGGGTTGAATAGCTCAATAACAACTTCCACGAACACATTTTATGGATTTCTGTAAACTGCGATCCGAAAACTTAGCTAAGACTAGAGGGATGATGTATAAGGGCCCAACCCTTTGGTGTTTCCCGACACTTGGAGTGACAAAACAGATTAGGGGATGGGTTTTAGGCGTCATTTGGTGGTCTGAATGGCGGACATAGCTAAAGAAAAGGTTTACGGACCCTCAAGATCTCCCAATTCAACCTCACCACCACCGCCGTCGACGACACGACCCACCTCACCGCCAAGCTCAACCTAACCCTCTCTGCCAAAAACCCTAACAAGAAATTGATATACACCTATGACCCAATCTCCCTCACCGCCTTCGCCTCCCAAGTAACCCTAGCCAATGGCTCATTCCTGGGTTTCCCCAGAGACCCGAATAACATCACAATAATCCACTCACCTCCCAATTTCTCGACGCCGATTCCGTCTCCGAACTCAATTCAAATCTGAAGAGAAGACGCGAATTGACCACAGGATCGTCATGGACACCATGGTTGTGCTGATGTTTGAGAAATTGCCGAGAAATAAGAGAAATCGAAGAAGAAATTAGAGTGGTTTGTTACAGCTGGAAGTCATAATATGTTGAAGAGGTGAAATTTGTTTCTAACAGCGATGATGTTACAGCTTTGTTTCTAACAGTGATGATGTTACAGCTTTTCTTTTAATTTCAATAAAAGAGAATTTGAAGAGGGTTACACGTGGAAGCAACAAAAACAAAGGAATTAAAAGAAAATAATATATATTATCATGTAATCATCCAAGTCAGCATTTAACCTGAAGAAAAGGTTAGAAACCTGCTACCAGGTGAAATTAGAGGTATTTGAAGCGTTGAGGGGTGTAATTGCACGTTTTTTAAGTTCGGTGGCTTGATTGCATTTTTGTGTTACGTTCAGTGGTCAATTTGACCCTTATTTCTTAAAAAAATAGTTTGGTGTTGGGCTGGCAGTTGGCCCTTTACTTATTTTTTTTAGTTTTTTTTTTTTTTTAGATAACCCAAGGGAGCGTTTGGTTTACTGGTGGTTATATCGTGGACCGCAGTGCATGTGCATCGTGGACTGCGGTGTAAATGCATTGCGGTCAAAACGACACCATTTCTTTAAATAAAGAAATAGTGCACCGTTATACGTAACGGAGAGCACATATTTGGTGTATTAATTATCAACTGACACTGCAGTGTATTTAAACCGACATTGCTTCACGTATTATTTTATATATTACCAACTGAAACTGCAATTGAATTGAAGTGAAACTGTAATTGTGTTGAAATGAAACTACAGTGTATCTAAACTGACACTAACTCACGTATTATTTTTATATTATCAACTGAAACTGCAATTGAATTGAAATGAAATTGTAGGTGTGTTTGATTGTTGAAATAAAACTGCAGTGTATATAAAATGAAACTGAATAACATTTCACATATTTGAGTGTATATTGGGCAATGAAGCTGTAGTTATATCGAAATGATCATGTAGTTGTGTTTTAATGAAACTATGATGTAGATAAAATAAAATTAAATAACATTTTCACATATTTGGGTGTTATAATATCGAATGAAACTATAGTTATATCGAAATGAAACTACAGTGTATACAAAATGATACTAAATAATAGAATTACTTTTTGTGGAATGGCGCGGAACGGCGCGAAACATATGGCGTTTCTTTTCATGAAATAAAACGACGTCGTCTCAACGCGCGGTGCATAATCGATTATGCATCGCTATGCATGATATGGTTTGCCTTGGTTTATGGAATCTTGGATTACCCCAGGTAAGATTACTTCCAATAAGATAATGTGAGATTTTGGGAATGTAAGGTTACCTTATGTGTTTGGTTTGGATTGTGGAAAATAATAATATTATCCACAATAATATTACAATAATATCCTCAATAACATACATTTTACACACACATATATATATATATATATATATATATATATATATATATATATATATATATATATATATATACCGCCTAATGATTATAACTCATCCTACATTTGTAATATTCTAGTATGTTGTGTCCTATAAATAATACCTTATAGGACTAAAAAGAGAATTGATACTATGCGTAAATTAATACATTGTTCTTGTAGCCTCAAACTACCAAGAACTTCATTCACACTTGTAATTACTTTGTTCAAAATCATCCATCTTTTCATCCAATGTATGTGTTGCATATAATCGATGTTGGGATTATATATATTACTTGATTTTACACCAATAATTGTGTAACCATGTAAAGTAATACGGATTAAGATATATGTTTACATTCCAATTCAAAGTTTCATGCACCCCTTCCAAACATTTAAAAAGGAAAAAGAAATCCACAAGCAAGCATAAAGTATATATATTTTTGTAAGATCAGACAAGCAAGCAGCAAGCTTGCCTCCTACGTTGGTTTTATTTGTGAAGAATGAGAAGCATCATATTTCGTAAGTCATGCCGACTCTCAAGAGTCGATTTTGAGGAATCGCATAAACTTTCTCCCCCTGTCTGAAATTCTTGCGCAGGAAACTGTAAACGTTGTTAACCACAAACTTCTTGAAAAACCACGAGTCCTGTTTCGCCTCCACCGCCGCTTCTCCCAGGAGGTAAAACACGCCGCCCTGTTCCTTCGCACGCTGCACAAACTTCACTTCTTCTTCCCAACCTGGCACCACCGTGTTGGTCCGGGTGGAGGAATGGGCCGACCTGATCGCGTTTATTGACTGAATTGAGGCCGAGGATAACCGCGCCGACACGTTTTCCAGAGTTTCCTCGACGTGTACGGTGGACGAGGATGATTTCCTGTTTGGCAAAGGTTGTTCGGGATTGGACGGGCCGCCGGCGATGAAATGTTCGTGTCGGATGAATTCCGTGAGGTGATCCACCAACAGCCCCTCGAACTCCTTAGGCTCTCCGATTTTGTCATTGTAGCCGTACCGGACCACGCAGCGGAAAACACGGTACTCCGTGGGTTCAACCTGTCGGAACAGGAACCGTTCC